TGGTCTTTATACCAATAAATCACTGTCAGATTGCAAAGGTTCATGCAGACCACTGAACATCATAGAATCACAGAATGGTTGGGTTGGAATGGACCTCAAGGATCACGAAGCTTCAACCTCCCACCACAGGCAGGGCCACCAACCTCCACATTTCACAGCAGCCCAGGCTGCCCAGGGCCCCATCCAACCTGGCCTTGAACACCTCCAGGGATGGATGGGGCATCCACAGCCTCTCTGGGCAGCTGTTCCAGCACCTCACCACTCTCATAGCAAAGAACTTCCCCCTGACATCCAGTCTGAGCCTTCACTCCTTGAGCTTTAAATCATGAGTAATTCCTGAATATAGACCTTCTGGAGTCATCTGATGCATCCTCCCTCCAGAGGAAGATACGAGCTCTCCTTGGATCATCTAAAGATGTTTGTATAACCTTCAGTGACAGAGATTCCACAACTCATTCAGGGAAGTTACACCAGATTTTTGCTTTTTTAGGACATTTCCTCCCAGCATCTGAAATGATCTTTGCTGAAATTTCAGCCCATTACTTCTGATACCATAGATTAAGGGAGCAATTTATTCCTCTCGCCTCTGCAGCGCTCTCCCATATATTTGAAGACAGTTCTTAAATGTCTCATTCATCTCTTCTTCTCTCAATTGAGCCACTCAACTCTTTCAACCATTCCTTATGGTTTCTGTTTTCCAGATGCCTAATGATTCTTGTCAACCTTAACTGACAGGCTCCTAAATTAATCTGTGGGTGATGTGTGCATCAGTTACTCGGCTTTCATGGACTACCAATGGTTTATAAATCACTTCTTAAGAACAAACACCCTGAAACACTAGCCTCATCGTGTCCGTGATAAAAATGCTTATGCACAGTTTGCATGCAACATTTCTGTACAGAAGAGTAGGGAGGTTGATATCAAATCTATAACTAGATTCCTAAATGAAGGTGATGTGGTATTTCAGGGGTACTGTGCTATTCTTTAGTGTGCAGGAAAATAAATGGGCTCTCCCAGAATTCAGAATCTCTAATAATGGTGTCATTTCTCTAAATTGCTTTGAAAATGGCAAACCTCGTGTTTTATCCTCAGAGATTAATGCTAAGAGGAGAAGAAGAGGAATTCTTGATTGCAATGGTAGTCATAGACTATTAGCTACCACCTCCTCAAAACGGACTGATATGCCAAGTGCCAAGGTTAGCTCTTGTAGCTAAAGGCCTATTTTCACTTTTTTCTGAATTTAAACATTTCTAATGCATGCAGACACACATTTGACATTTTACGTAGCTGAACACTGGTGAATGTCAGTTTGAAAGTACATGAAGAATTCAGGAAACAAGTAGTTAAGTTCCTACAAAATGTTGAACTCTGTTTACTGCTGTTAGTGTGCAAGATGGACAAATTCACCCAATGTACTTTGGATTCTTCATGAGAAAAGCATTTGCCATCCTCTAATAAAACAAGAAGATAATGTTTGATAGGCTTTTGTATTTTTGCAGACATACATAGTTGTACATATATATATATACACACTCTATACTGATCTCACTATTGAACACGCAGGCAATGAATGGTGTTGTTCACCTCATCCTAACTTCAGAGTTAATGAAGTGACATCTCTGAAAAGAGAAACTTATTAGAGCTTATTAGAACTTATTGGAACTTATTAGACTTATAAGACTTATTAGAGCCTGAGACACAGATGAGCTTAAGTGAAAGGAATTCATAGTATTTCAAAATGGAAATGTTGCATGCTCTCATAGGTCCCAGTCCTGGCCTAGTTTGCTCTTTCCAGACCTCCAGCCCTGGTTTGTTCCTCCATAATGTACCAAAAATTAATTATGATGCACCTCCAACACCATGCAGCTGTGAAGTTGGCTGTGGAGACAGAGGAGTATTTTGTCTTGCCAGAGCTTCCAATCAGGATATTGTGTCACAGTGGCATCCAGTTGCACTCTGAAACTTAATTCCAAACCAGTGGCCTCTTTACCCTAATATTCTCTTCACTCCACAACATTGCCCCCACTTAGAAGAGCTGATCCTTTATTTCAGTAGGCTCACCACCTCGTGCCTTATGAGCCACCACATAGTTTATAAAGATAGAAAAGTAACCTATCCCCATCTTGCTTACTTGAAAGCTTGTTCTCCAAAGGCCACTGAAAATAACTCCCAACTTTGTTCTCAGGTTCTTTCTCAAATGAGACCCACTGAATTCTTCACCAGAGATGTATTTTCAGGAAATTTAAGTAGAAATTGTCATAGAATCATAGAAGCATAAAATAGTTGGGTTAGAAGGGAACCCAAGGATCATGAAGCTCCAACCCCCTGCCACACGCAAAGCCAGTAACCTCCACATTTCATAGCAGCCCAGGCTGCCCGGGGCCCCATCCAACCTGGCCCTGAACACCTCCAGGGATGGACAGGGATGGAAAAAACTAATTGTTTCAGGCTGATGTCACAGCTGTTTCATTCCTTGTAAATTTACCAAACCTGCATTCTCTTCTCAAATGTCTTTAAGTGCTAAAAATGACTGAGCATAGCAGGTATCGCTAACCACACACCTTGGAATGTTAAATATTCATTCATGACAACAGTTTCAGATAGCTTTAACCCTGAATTACATCAGCAGTCTGCATGGCAAAATGATAATTCTCCTATTTGTGAATATTATTCAGCAGTAAAAATTACCAGAAGACTAAAATCCTTACTTAAATTTGCTTAGGACTGTGTACATCTATACTTAAACATTTTACCTTATTTCTGATGAAATCTTTGCACAAATAGATTCCCACTAAAGCTGACTCCATTTTTTTTTTTCAATACAAAATTTCTTCAACATTTAAATAATAAAAAATAGTTGGAGATTCTGTTGTTGTTGTTGCTTAAAACCGAAGTCAGAATTTAAGTATTCAGTAAAGCATGCTCCAAGAGAGCTTTTTAATTAAAAAAAAAAAAGAATAGAAAACATATTTTCTGCTGATTCTTGTTAATGCAAGCATACTCTTCAACCTGCCTAAGCAGGGTGGGTGCTTTTAGATTGAGAGTCTGGCTGTCAGTTTTGGAAGGATATGCATGAATTCAGTGACTGACCTTGGGCAAGTCACAAATTCTGCCCTGTGCACGGGAAAATAGTTTCAAAATATATGTCTATCCCAGAGGGTATTATAACAGGAATTTCACTGATTCCTCCACTGTATCTGGAGAAGTTAAAAGTTTTGCTATGTTTTATTTGTATAAAGTAGAAAATAAGTGCAATTATCTGCAGGAAATGCAAGGAGCACGTGCTAATAACAGAAAGAAGAAGTTGCATGATAGCTAAATCCTGCAGTCTTGAACTTGCTAATCCTTTAGTACTCAACAGAATTACTCTGCTGAGTAAAAGGTACTGGAACAGGGTCTCTATCATACAGAGCCACAAAATACAATATGCAAAGAAACTGCTCTCTAGCAAACCCAAGGATCTTTCTGCACCTGTTCAAGAAACAAGCATGGAAGTTGTTTGGGAAGCCGAATTATAGTTAAAAGTTTCATAAGACATAAAAAGAGGCTATTCTTCTGTTTAAATGTGAAGTCCTGCTAAAGGAGAACAAGAACTGTATGGATTCACTTTTGGGTTTGTGCATGAATGTCAACAGTCAAAAAAAAAAAACAAAAAAAAAACAACAACAAACCATCCTGAGGAGTCCAGCACCTTCTGGGATGCTTATCTGCATTTGTGTTGGATTATCCTGACATCTAGAACTGCAGAATCATAGAAATAGAATCATAGAATTGTTTGAGTTGGAAGGGACCCTTAAAGACCATCTGGTCCAACCCCCTGTAACGAACAGGGGCAATACTCTCAGTCTAACGTCTAACTATGAATATCTGCTGAGATTAAAGATGGTAAATTGCATTCTTTGGGTTTTGCTTAGATGTAAAACTGTTCTACAAGTCTAGATACTGCAGACCATTTCCCTTCTGCATTCACCTCCTCATACTCCCATATGATACCTTTATTGATAATTCCTTGAGCAAGGCGTTTCCTTGATTCTTTGCCCTCACCAGGAGCTCAGTCATCCTGTACTGGTATGAAGAGAGGCCTTGGTAAGGATGTATCAACCCAGCAACTTCTGCCAATCTCCCTTAGTTCACCAACGCTTGAGGCTATGATCATGGGCTCAGATGAACCCGGTACCAGTCTCGGCTCCTCAGCAGAGGAACAAGAGGGACACAATGAATTTCAATGCTCCTGGGAAATGTTGGGCTATTATGTCATAAAGAACTCACAGTCTCATACCAGAGTCCATATAAATGTTGCAGACAGCCAGCAAATGGCTAGAAATTTAACTACAGAACAATGGTACTATCAACTTTCCTTCCTGTCGCAGGGGTTTTCACCTGGACACAGAAACCAGTTGAAGAGATGAACTGTTCATTTATCCTTCCCTGCTCTACTAGACTCGTGTTTATAGCTCATTCTGCCGTACAGCTTGTGTTCTGGTATTTCCTGGTACCATCTAGTGCTCCAGGACTGGCCCCAAGCTCTTTTGTAAGAAGTTTGGTATAAAGATGAGTTCTAGGAGAAAAACATTTTGTCATCCAAGAAGGGCAGCTCAAAGAGATTTAAATAATTACAAATTCATGTTAAACTCATTAAAATGTTTTGGGTAATTTGAAAAACGATACTGTGAAAGTTCCTTATAAATGATTTCAAGGGTTTTTGTTGGAAAACATTTTGTTCTAAACTTTTACAGCATGATATTCAAAAGAAAGAAAAGAGCTGAAAGAAAGTAGCTTTTGCTAAAGAATAATCAGTCTTTGTTTTATTCAAATGCACTTCTGTTGTTGACACTTCTTTTTCCCCTAGAAGAAATAATAACAAAAACTTGGAGTTGATCCCTCTTTTGTTTTTTGGTTGTTTTTTTTTCTGAATTTTTGGGACTTATCAAGAAAACTAAAACTTCAACTTTATGTGAACTACTCTGTTTCTATGAAGAGCCACAATAGACAGGCCTGCTCTATGACCCAAAAACACTAACAGAGAAAGCTAAAGATGAGACACCTGGTAAGACAAAAGTGGGTACACAATTAAATATACATTACAGAGCTCCCTGCTGCTCATCTGCTGTGGGCAGGATTTGGGAAGTAAGGTGGACCTTATTCAACCTATTGTATACACACACACATATATATAAATGATATATTATATATATTCTGTATCAGTTTTATCTTCAGCTGAAGACATCATATGGATTCAGCAACACTGAGAGGATGCAATTCAAAGGATGTGGAAAGCCAGAGCTGTTGAGACAAATACGTGTGTCTCTGAACTGTGGAAATAGAAAGAACATAATATAGCAACTTGAGAAGACTAGCTTCTCTTTTTACCTTCAGCAAGGCTAGCAGGTAACTGTTGAACGGTAACAGTTTATCTGATCAAGCTGCTGGAGGTAGTCAGAATTCACAGAATCATGGAATTGCTAAGATTGAAAAGACCTTAAAGATCCCCAAGTTCAACCCCAGCCCCCCCACTCCAATGCTCATTGACCACATCCCTCAGTGCCACATCCCCATGGTTCTTCAACATCTCCAAATACGGTGGCTCCATCACCTCCCCAGGCAGCCTGTGCCAGAATATAACCACTCCTTCTGAGAAGAAACTCTTGTTAATATCCAACCTCAGCCTCCCCTGGCACATCTTAAGACCATCACCTCTCATCCTATCTCTGTTATCTGAGAGCAGAAGCTGATCCCCACCCCAGGGAAGGAGAAGGGGAAAGGGAATGGGAAGGGACCATGAATTCACCTCAGCATCAAGCTGTGCCTTTCAAATGTCAGCCTCAAGATAAAAGAAACCTCAGATCAGAATGAGAAATACAGAGGAATTAAACACAAAAGAAAAGAGGGAAAAATATCCCCATTCGTATTTGGGCAGCAAGAAGAAAACATAGCAATTTTGTTATAGCCTTGGAGGCAGGGAGCATTTACCATATGCTGTCGTCTCCATTACACAAAAAGATAAACCCTGTGGAGTTCAGGTTGCACTGTCAGTGCAGTTGAGATGCTGGGGATTCCTGGCATTTGTACGACTGTGTGTCAGGGTATGCTAAAAACTGTGCAAAGCTAAATAAAGTATAGGTACCATATGCAAAAGTGCAAGTGCTTTAATATGCAGATGTTAAGTGGTAATGCTGCTAGGATATTAATGCTTGCTTGTGAATAGTAATCAGGGAGAAAAGGTAAAGAAAAACTGGTGTGTTTGTATCTAGACAACATATTAATCAGCCCCCTAAGCAGCCAGTCAGAGTGGGATCCTTGGAGGAAAAGTCTTTCCTGGGTACACATTAGACATTTTGTTTAAAGATTAAAGTTCTTCTCGTGTTTAATCAGTTTTAGAGTAGGATGGGAAAAGGGATTAATTACAGTCCCTTCCATCAGGCTCCCATACCGCCGGAGTCACAAATGATGCGCCTGCTCAGCAAAATGGCCGCCGTCAGCAGCAGGCGCAGGAAATACTAATTGTAATTAAAGAGCTTATTTGGAATCACAAAGCAGAGTTTTAATCAGGATGAGAACGGAGCCTTGCTGTGTGAACTTTCAGAAAGTGGTTACAGAGCAGAATGGGCCCTTTTAAACAACAGAGAGTCTTAAAACTTCTGGACTGGCTTATCAGCTTGATTGTCTCCTCAGTGGGGCACGGATGGAAATCCTTGCTGTGCCAACTATTGTTATTATTTTGCACTCCCATGGCAGTTACACGGCACGTCTTACCCAACACATTCAGAAGACTTTGCAAAGGGCAGGTAAGTTCTTTCATTTAATTTAAATTAAACTTTACAGAGGATAAACATGACCAGGTGCCACGATTCTGCAAGAAGGCAGAGAAGCACAGATGGGTACAGACCTGTGCAATGAGATCTCCCAAACTCGCCCAATGTCATTCACTATTTCCATCCCAAAAAATGCATCACGCAGTCTGGGACCACAAGCACACAGACCTCAGTTGTGTCAATGAAGCCTGGGACACACACACATTTCACAGGTCAAATGCACACATGACTTTGCAGCTACTCCAGACAGCACAGGCACTTACCAGATTGCAAGTAGAACCTTGTCCATTCAAATTCTGACTTTGGGAAAACAGAAACAGGTGGTTCTAGGTCCAGGAGATTTCCATCCAAATCCTTGACAAGGGCCTTTCTTGAGCCTTCACAGCTCTTTTCAGGGAATGTAGTGTCTTCAGAGCTGGCAGGCAGAAGAGGTGGGTTATTATGAGGCAGAGAGTAAGAACTGATGTCTGCAATTTATTTCTACTGGCAACAAACACTCCTGCACCTATACATACATATATATATATATAATGCTTTGGTATTTATTAGGTGAACTTGTATTCCCTGGAAAAGAAATAAAATGAAAAATAATGTACCTCAGAAAATCGTGGTTTTATTAACATTGTACCATCAGTACGTTCTCAGGAGGAAATTGTAAGTTTAGATTTAAAAAAAAAAAACAAACAACAAAAACCAAAAAAACAGAAGCCACATAAATTTCTTTGTACATCATTAAAGACAAAGGAAGAACGGGTTTTTTGGAGAGGAACTCACCTCACCTGAGTTATATATCTAAGTTAGATTGAATCATTTCCTAGACAAGGGTCTCTAATAAATACCCAGTAAGTTGAATGTATATATTTAGATTATATGCCTAATTTTTAGCACCCTAAAGTTTAGTGAGCTGAACCACATGCTGAGGATCTGAAATGCTTTTAGATGTGTTTTGAGTACTGTTTAACACAGTCCAAAGGAGCTAGACAATTGGCCAAATTGCACCTCTTAGAAAAACTGTAATGATATGCAAGAGGTTGTACCCAGCAAAGTCCGTGGAAATATCTTCAGATTGTCATATGGATATTTTTTAAGCCTTGGAGAACAAAGAGAATTTCTTGAGTTGGAAAAATACACACTTATTTACATTATGAGTGCAGCCAACAGGAACACATAATGATCCATAGAAAGAAAAAACAATCACATGGGCCAGCCCCTCTGATCCACACGACTTGAAAGAAGTGGAGAACAAAGATAGCTCTTCTGATCCTGACAGCTAGTTCAATTCTCCAGCATCTCTCAGAAGGTCCAGCATTTCAGCTGGCTGGGTCTACGGGAGGGACAAGCAGAGTACTCCATGCTTTTGCCATATCCCCTGATGTTTCTATTTCCTCTCTTGCTCTGAGGCAATGCTCACCTTCCCCTTGACAGGAGATATCCATCAAGATATCCCTTCAGGATGCTGAAGCCGAACAATGCAGCCACAGCCTGGATCAAGCTCAGCAGCTTGCAAAGGTAGATCAAATAAATGCATGCAGATAATGCGTGAGGAGCACTGAGAGATGTAATCTCCCTCAGAGGTTTACCATGCCACTAAGAAAACATTCTGTAATCCACATGCATTCATCATGTTAGAAAATCACCAGCTCTTGCAGTGGACTGCGAATTCAGCAGCTCACTAGTAGCATAATATTGTGGGATGGATACAAGAGTGAAACATAATGGGAGCTGACAGGCTGGACAGGTCTCAGAAATCTACACGCAAACTAACGCCCAAAGCACAAAGCAAAAATATAGAATAGAATAAAAATCCTGGCAGAAGGCTGGAGGGGCTCTAAACATAGCAGTGTGGGACACCTCCAATTATTTTTGACTGGCAAGTGGAGTCCGTGCTGGATTATTTTTGCTACTTCAAGGCTTTCCTGACATAGCCTCTATATTGTGTTCACCGGTTGTAATAAATAATTTGGCATGTGGTTTCCATTGGACATGGTATGTTTGAATTGCTGCAACCATCAGTGACTTAAGGTTACAGACAAAGCTCTCTCCCTCTCTGCTCCGTGTTTCTCCACACACAGCCGATATTCTCCCTGGGCAGGAGCAGTTCTGGCAATCATTTGACATCTCACAGCCTGCCTGGTACTGATCAACATTTCTGATGCGATCTCGCAGGCAAAAATCAAGCTCCGCTTCCCCAGCCAAAAGGACAGCCCCTATCTCAGGGTTTTTTGCTGAAGGTCCTGACATTTGCTGAAGCCTGAGGCTGAGAATTCAGAGATGTTCAGGACAGAGCTTTAAGAAACAGGATTTATGAAACTTGTTTTGCTATACAAATGTCAGTAACAGAAGAAATCCAAGAGGACCGGTCTGGAGATGCACCTTGATACAATCTGAACCTCAGATCTTCAAATATTGCCCTAAACTGTTGTTTTGTTGAGGTTTTTTTCTTTGTTTTTTTTTCGGGGGGATTTGAGTTTTTGCCAGACAGGAACAGCAAAGGAGCAGAGACGCACAAAGGATGGGATTGCTCTGCACCTAAAATTCCAGTCTAAATTAACTGCTTAAATTCTTATCAAGATAACACAAAAAAGACAGTTGATACAGAGGTGAGGGTAGCCTTAGAACTGTAGGTGATTTTATTTTTTATTTTTAATTTTTTTTTGCAGAAACAAGAGAAGACGCTTGGAAATGAGGCATATTACCTTGCTGCATGAAAGTAGAACTCATCCTTTTCATTGACACGTAACATCCTCGATCTCTCTGATGTGATCAGAGGCATGATGCCTGAATGGTCAGTATCTGACATGATGCAGACATCCCTGTCTTCGCCGTGGCAGCTCTTTGTAAAACCAGTAAATGTGACGTCTGCCAGGGATTAAAAAAAAAGACCAAGCAAGGAAAAGTAGTCAGAAAATGCAAGAACTATGGAGAAAAGAGCTTTGCTCTATGAATTGTTCTATGTGAAACTGTAGTGAAAATCACTTTTTAAATCAGACTACTTGCATTATCATAGACCTTCAGTTGGCTTTAGAATATCCCATAGCTGCAGTTATATCTGAGGTTAACATAAACCAAGTCATGCTCATGGGAAATGAAACCAAATATTAAGTGAAAAAGAAACATGGAGAAGAATGATTAATTGATTGTATTGGAATCAGAAGCTGCTTAAAGACAAGCTGCCATGGATGGTTTCTCCACTTACCAAATGTTAATATAAAATGATTGGCGTCTGATGACATATGCTTGGCTCTGGAACTGAACTGCTGTGTAGCTACAAAATCCATTTTGTGCCACAGATTTTCTCTGAGACCCTGGGAAGTCTATTTGCCATTCTCTCCCTCCCGTGCTCTTCAGTAAAAAGAGCATAATGCATTGTCTTGCAAAAGTAGGTAGCAGTGAGGAATAAAGACATGAAAAATTGTGAGGTATTTAGATCCCATCGTAGCATCCAGTCAGCCAGGTTTTATTACACATATATTATTCTGGAAGCAAGAAATTTAACTAGAGCCAAAGACAAGTGATAGTTAACTGATATATCCTACTTTTGCACACTTTAAAAATTATAATTCCTCATGACAATAAAAGCCAAGCCATGTTTCTGTGCAGCTATAGTCATGATGTTCTATTGCAAGTTCTAGACAAGATGCGCCACTCCTCAAACTTGACACCTCTATTTAGTTAGAGATGACTTCAGATCACATACATGCATCAGGTGGAAACAAATAGTGTAGAAGGAAAAGTGTGTTTGAAGTAAAATACATAAATTAGCATAATTGCCTACAGCTGATACAGGAAGTGAAAATTACCAAGTGATGTGTTTTTAACTGTATCAACCTGAAGACACATTCAGAAGGGTTTCCCTACCATGACCATTTGTAGGTGTGGAAGGCCAAAGTTTCAGCCCTGGAAAACCATAATTAGTCAAGACAGGGACAGGATATTCTCGCCAATAGAAGTGGAAGACCAACCTTTCAGCTTCATGAGTCCTAGCACTTTTGGACAGCGGACAATTCTGTGCCATGGGCTATCTGGCCTCTGGCTGGTCACAGTGGTAAATTTAGGCCATAAAATCCCAGCACGGCCTCTTTGAAGGTAGTATGGTGGTCGATGCCTGGAAGTTAGGTCAGCTGCTTGAGGTTTGATCCTGTCTCTGATGCAGTCAAAAGTTGAGCTTGTTGCAACAATGGTAGAGTTTCTAAGTTCAAGGAGTCTTTTCCCCGTGTAGCACTGCTTGGCATACAGACAGTGTATTACTGGCATGAGACCCACAGTGTTGTCCACCAGCACCACACTGTCTATGATGACGCTGCTTCCAAGGTGGAACATCAAACCATAGTCATAATTCTTGTAAGACAGAAAGCCTGTTATTCTAGTGCAGGTCTGAAATCCATCTCCCCTGTACAGATGAATACCGTGGAGATTTGAATGGGCCACATTTTCACTGCAATAATCAACATCCAGCAAACACTCTTGGCCTCTAATATGAAATCCAATCCTCTCAGATCCTGCCACAACATTGCCATAGAGGGAGACACCAATGACAAGATTCACCTTGATGCCAGCAACCCAGTTTAATAAACCCTCTGGCTGCCTGCTTAGAATAACGAGGTTCCTGATGAGAGAATGGTTTTTCCCTTCCAAATCAATGCCAGGTCCGACCGTGTTGAACACTATATTATCATGCAAGCAGATCCCATTGCTCATGACTGCTTTAATGCCAACTCCACAGCTACCATGAATGGTGGATGACACCACTGAGGACCGTTGAGTTACATTCCTGAATTCAATAGCAGAAAGTTGAGGAGGCCCAACGTTCAAAAATTCAATATTTAAGAGTTGAAGGACACCTGTAATGAGATAACTACAATGAAACAGAAGCTTCCAGAACTACCTGAGGCCTGGTTGACATCCATTCAAACATCACTCAGGCATATAACAGTAGGCAACCTTTGCCGTTGTATTGCCAATAAAGGGTATTTGTTCAAAAACATTTGAACACTTACAGTAAAAAACAACCAACAACAGAACCAGAACAATCTAAATATATTCCAAGATTATTATGAAATATGTGTGCTCATGTTTCATACATATCTCACAGTCACAGTTTGCTTAGAATTGCAAAGCATATGCAAATGGATATATCCTGTGCTATGCAGTTCTTTCTTGGGCAGAACTGGCCTGGTCAGTGAGAGTAGGTGAATCTCTACTACCTTCAAACTCTCTCCCACTGGAATCCGTAAAATGTCCCACCAGTATCTTCCCAGTGCAAGGCACATCAGACTTGATCTGTATATTCCGTGTTAGGAGTCCAACTTCTGCAGACAAAGGGATGCTTCTACCATCTTCTATGTCATGGGGATGCCCTGGGGAGTTTCAGGAGACAAAATGTGCTAAGTGTCTATCATACCTATATACCAGTGCTTCAGGGGACATCCAGCCTAGCAGATTGTGCACAGCATCTCTGTAGAATCTGCACTGACATTCAGGTGGGTTTTTCCTCCAGCACAATCTACACACATCAACACTAAAACTGAAAGGCCACCTGCCCATCAAATATTCACCATGCATATATATTTTACCAACATACTTTGCTTTTAGAAAAAGGTGCTAAATCTTTTCCCTGCGGTACAGAGATGCCAAAATCAATGAACAGATTCACACTGATTTGCTTAAGCTCTACACGCAAGAGATGTTCTTCAGTACAGAAATACTGCGTGAATTGCTATTAGAATTAGACCAACGACAGCATTAAATAGCAATTACCTACAGAGATCTGGTTGCAGGCATCTCCTAAAAAAAAAAGTGTTGTTTGATGAGAATTCTGAGAGAGCCAATGTAGGTATCTAGCCTGGAATTCATCTCTGGTGACTCTTGGAATCTCCAGACTTGACTCAGTTATCCAGCCTGGTTTTATGTAGTGGAGAGAAACAGGCAATTCTCAAGTGCAATTCATTATCTACTTTATACATCTGCTTTAAGTGAGCAGTATGTATTTATCTGCTTTGAGGCACTGCTCATGTATATATCTACTTTTGTTTAGGCGAATCCCAGTAATTATGTAGCTCTTAATATTTCCATCAGTTTCCTTTTTGACTCTTTGCAGATATGCTTTCTAGAATGAGCTATTCAGTACAGTTTGGACCATCAATTTTACACTATCAAATCAGCTGAAAAAGGCAGAGAAAGATACGTCAGTAAAGTAGAATTGATCTTGCTGAGACCTGAAACAGAAGGTCTATGCTTCAGAAGGAAACTTTGAAATAGAAAAGATATGTTTCCTACCAACATGCCTGTGGATAAGGCGTTCATGGAGTGTTATAATATGACCACTGACTTCTTTAAGTGTAACTAGTTCAGCTTGGTGGGCTTCATAGGAGGAAGAGCTGATCACAAGATCTCCCTCAGGCCTCCAGTCCACTTCATCCTCCACCAAAATCCTGTAATGCCAAGATACGAAACCAATATCACTGCGAGTTAATGCTCAAAGATTTCCTAAAAAAATTGGCAAGAATCTGCAGGGTATGCACTAAAAAAAATCTTTCTGCATCCGAAAACTGATGTCTTGAAATAGTGGGATTAATCCTGAACTGCCTGATTCCTGCCACTGATAACCAAGGTATCCAGTTTCAACGTACAGTTGTAGGGTGCAACTATGCTTCTTATCAAGGATGTGTCAGATCGTCGTTGCTTAAGACTTAATCAGTACAGTCAGTAACAAGTGAAAGGCAATCCAGCTCTCTGCACCCTCTGTGTTGGACACATAGAGAAGCATTTCACCGCTAAGCAAGAATACCTACTGCTATTTGAGATGTCCCAAGATATCTAACAAACAGGATTAGTCATGATAATGTATTTTTTGAAAGCATAAATCCTTCTCTGACTCACGTGTCAACTCATACTGGAAAATATATGCAACATCTTCACTCACTCAAGAAAAAGCCACTTCCATCAGCTTTCCTAGCACTGACTTGCCCACTTCCTGTACCTAACCACATTGACTTTTACCCGGTTATTAGTAGGTTCTGAAAAAAAAAAAAAATTGGCCAAGATTTTTCTAGATCAATTCCTCCCCTCCCCTCCCCTCCCCTCCCCTTATATTAGATATTCAAGTCTGTGAGAGCTAGCAACAAACATTCTGTTTTTGAGGATTGTGTGCCTCTGCTGTCAATCACCACAATGAGTCTACAAATAATTCCTTTCTAAATGCTGATATTTCACCATTACCTAGATGGGATCTCTTCCAATGAGTTTTTATTAGGCCTAACTGTTAGGTATTTTCTTTTTCCTACATGGTTGAAGTTAAGCATTTGGAAGACTTACTGAAAAACTTGGTGAAAATTTCATGTAAGAAAGTCAGGAATAAGAACTCCAGAGAGACAGGTGCTTGGCCATGCTACATAGCTAACAGTGAGTGTTCAAGGCACTTACAGGGGAGATCCTTACACAAACACATTCCCTGGCTTGGGTGAAAAGCTTGAACTTCAGGCAGCAGACATATTCATCTAACAGGCAGCTGTGGTAGCTCCACTTAATCTGCCTTAAGATGTGGTTTCGACAAAGCCTCCCTACTGAAATAGGCCCATGTAGTTATGTCTGCTGCACCAGCTATAATAAGTTATGGAGGTGCAGCAATGGGAGAGAGAAGGTAGAAATCAAAACTATATCAGAAAACTGAAAAATACATATCCTGAAAGGGTCACATCTCAAATACCTTACTCCTTGGGTTGTACAAGCAACCTCATATTCTCCGGTCTAATTCACTGCCTATACAAAAAAGATTTCTCAGATAGGAGAAATTATGATTCACATAAATGATGCTTACTTGCAGACAATACTTACTGAAGTACTGATTTCTGAGTTTTGTTTAATTCAGAGGTGAAATACATATGTAAGTCTCAAGTCAAAATGAACATCCTAATCACCAAGATATCAGCCATTGAGGATTTCATCCAAAAAGAAAGGAAAAACAGAGGGAGAGAAGGAGGAAGGGAAAGATAGAGAGAAGGATAGAATTAAAGAGAAAAGAAAGAAAGGAAGGACAGAGGGAAGAAAAAATCTTAGCTTTGTTCCTCTTTAGAACTGAATCTAAAAATTGTATAATTTTCTTGCAAGGAGCCACACGTAACTGTTCTTCTACCTAGACATAGTTTAAACAGTGTCTATCACAAAGGAAAAGAGAAATATTAGTATAAGCCACAGAAACGGGAATTTTCATTTCGTTTGGAGCCATATTTGGGCAAAAGATCACCTTTCATTGCCAGGAGCAACACTAGCTCCAAGATGTGTCCAAGACTTCCCAGGATAAGAGCTATAAATTTGCACCTTCCCATAAACCCCTGGAAAAAAATAGAAAGCAAAAGTTAGGGAAATATTGAGTAAATAAATATACTGAAATCTTTCTCTATATTACAGCATTTTCCTATGTTTTACAAGAAGTGTATGAACAGCACATAACTTGAAATAGAGAGTAAAGCAGAAATAAATAACTTTTAAAACGACTGTTGCACATAAAGCCAAGAAAGGGTTTGCTGGCCTCCGTTTTAGTGGTTGGGTTAATGTCCCACTTGGACAACTTTTTCATGACATACTATGTCACAGAATCATAGAATCATTAAGGTTGGAAGAGACCAGACTGTCAACCCGTGACCACCATGCTCACTAAGTCACTACAGCCCATGTTACGACAGTCCTAAAGAAGACAGTGGCAAGTATTGGGAATGCAACTCAGGTTATCCCACAAAGAAATACCTCCTATGACCTTCCATTTGTAGTGGTTTAAGATGATAGGATGGACAGTTACAAAGTCTTATTTGATTTATGATAACATGTAAAACGGCAGCAATATATGTCTGCTTTTCTCACCCCTAAGATGATGCCCTAAAAAATGATAGAAAGTCATGTTGTTAGCCACAGCTAAACTTCACCTCCTAAGGTTTTTAGAATCACAGAATCACAGAATCACAGAATCACCCGGGTTGGAAGGGACCCCAAGGATCATGTAGTTCCAACCCCCCAAGAGTTTAAAAAACCCTTCAGAATTAATTTCCTATGTAAATTAAGTTTCTATCTTGCCTTCTGAACATTCCGCTTACTCATCTGCTAGGTTTTTAGTTTCCTGATCAGTGTGAAACAGTTTCTTAGTGTCTTACATGCAGACTGTGGGGTTTGATGGATTATTCACTTTTCTCCAAATTGCTGTAGTAGTCTACAAATCTAGATCCTAGAAATTGCTGTTGATCATGGAACTGAATTTCTACAAAAGTCCACCAATGAATTAAGTCTTTCAATCATAGAATCATAGAACAGCCTGGGCTGAAGGTCTAGATGATTCTTTGAGGTCAAGATCAAAGATCATCTAGTTTCAACCCCCTGCTGTGTGCAGGTCGCCAACCAGCAGACCAGGCTGCCCAGAGCCACATCCAGCCTGGCCTTGAATGCCTGCAGGGATGGGGCATCCACAGCCTCCTTGGGCAACCTGTTCCAGTGCCTCACCACCCTCTGGGGGAAAATCTTCCTCCTCATATCCAACCTAAACCTCCCCTGTCTCAGTTTAAAACCATTCCCCCTTGTCCTATCACCATCCACCCCGGTAAAACCAACCATTTAAACAAATGTTTTATATTTATAAATGGAACTGGATGCACTGTGACATGCTAATGTTTATCATGATTGTGCCCTCTAATTTCTCATGTTAAGACCTCCAAACTGGACATCTTTTTGCTTACTGTCCTAACAAAAACTCCACAGAAACTTTAGGAACTGACCTGGTAAATGTTTTACCTCAAAAGTATGGATGTACATTTGTAAAATGTTTTTTTCTTCTGTGTGGCACAGTAATAGTCTCAACAAAAGCAGACTTGGCAATTGCCTAAGACTGGTATGCTATAAGGAGTTATGCTCATGTCTCATACCAATACTCCCTGGGTGGACATTTATTTCCTCCAGATGATCACAGTAAATCCCTTCAGATGCCCGAAGAAGGATCAGTAGCTTTGAATCCCTTTCTAGAGGATGTTGAAAAGAACCTGAAATAAAGAGAAAACAGCAACAACCACCACAGAGGTATCAATGGTTTTGTGATGCTGAAATGGTGCTCTCCCTTGTCTCATGGAAATGGTTCCCATGCACCTTGCTCCCTGCCAGAGGTCTCTCTAGGAGCTAAGCTGAACATAAAGAATGCCAGTCGTGTCTGTGGAAACATTTTGTCCACATCCCATAACTTAGGATCATGCACGCCCAAGGCTCTCCTTGGAGTCAGCAGAGAGAAAGAAAAGTTCCTTCATCGGGTGACTCACACACATCCTATATGGCCTGAATTGCCCCTTGGAAGTGGCAGCCTCTCCATTGACTTTGTAGGCAGCCTGGAGAGACTGCTCCAAACTCAGATATTTCAGTTAAGTGCTTAAATTAAAAGGGGATGGAGAGCTGAATCTAAATTTAGAGTCCCAGGCGGGTTTGCCCAAGGTCAAGCAATGAGTGTGTGAAGACAGGAGGTTCTCATTCATCTCTGATCACTGAACATTTCTTTCCCCCACTCATCTTTTCCTTTCTGCTCATTTAAAATTTCACCAATTCCGAGATAACTGTTCCCATTCTGCAGCCAGGATGGCTAAGAACAGCCTTTCAAACCAACAGAAAGATTTTATTAGTGGAGGGAAAAAGAAAATACCCAACAAGTTTTGGTGCGTGTGATGTTGCTCTTATCTTGTGATAAGTCTGTACAGTAAACTGTATTCCAACTGTGACTTCATTTATTTCACCAAGGGTAGTTTACAGTTTCAGAAGAAAATGGCCCAACATTAAACAGATACTAGGGAGGAAAAAGTAGGACAGTTTTTGCCCTGGAGAAATGTATGCGGAGTCCAGTAAAAGAGTTCAGCATTCCTTTAAAATTAGAGATTAAATCAATTATGCAACAGAAAACTGCAGCAGATGTAGAACTAAAAAATATATACATATCCATACAAAATTAGCTGGCCTGTCATCTTCTTTTAATATTTAAAAATTACTAGTTTGGAAAAGATAGCTGATTTTGTATCCTAAAGAAACATTCCTTTTAAAGAGTGCTTTTAAATTAATTGAAATCAATAAATAAATTCTTTGCTCCCCAGCACTGTCTGACTGATATCTATGGGCATATAAATTCACTGTGCAGTTTTATAAGGATAAAAGACCAAAAGCTCAAGACCCGCACGCTCTCCATCCAGCACATCTCATCCCAATCTCATCCCTTGTTTCTGCTCTGGGAACAGGGATGGAATTCAAGCATACAGTGTCCATCATCCATCCAACACATCTTGACTTTCTTGTTTAAACTCCCGTACCTCCCATAGACAAACTCTAGTTTCAGAGGGGAAAGCATGCGACAAGGACTTTTACCACTGATGCACTAGGTTAAACAAACATCCAGCTAGAGCTGCAGAAGAGTTACGCAGACGTTTGTGTCTATTTTCGTACCCAGGGTGACTGTTTTCCTGGCTTCACCCTCCCAGCAAGATGTGATTTGAAATACTCACCCTGAACATACCTTCCTCGGTCCTCAGGTCAACCCTGCCCCCAGTGATGAAGTTACCAGCTACGATGATGACCCAAGAAAGACTCAAGGAAAATATTTAGGCAACTTAATGCTGCTGTTATGAAAGTATTCACAGTTACCTTTTCCTAATCATAATGACAACCCTTTCAACTGGGGTGTTTTTATCATTATGAATTATTATTTGTGTTATCACCAGTGTTATTATTTTACTGCTGGTTACGAAGAGCTTAATATTTTTTTCTAATTAAGTAAATTAAAAATAGCTTTGTAATATATTCAACTCTCAGCTCGACTTTAAAACAATTTTTAAGTGGACTTCCAGGCTTGACAGTCACAGAGAAATGTTTGGAAATGTGAAAACTTTAAAGGCTTGAATTGGAAGTTATGACTCTTTAAAAAGAAATATATCTACATTTAGCTAAAATTTGTGATTTTTTATTTTTTTTTAATCCCAAAAAAGTATGGCAATATTTTAGGGAATGCTGCCCTTGTTAAAATCTCTCTTTCTCTCAAATCAGAGTGAGAAACAAAGCAGCTACAATAAAAATTCATGGTTACTCATCACCGTATTAAATCCTTTAAAAAGAAACCCAAAAAGAGAAGATGATGTTCATAAGAATGGTTAGTTGCCTGGAAACTGTTAACAGTACACTACATAAAAGAATGCAGGAGGTGTCTGCGACTAGAAAAAAATTGACTTGTTTTCTAAATATTTAGAACAAAAATAACCCCAGCATTGCTTATTTCTATTAATAGTTTTAAGTCAACGAGTGCAACATGAATGCAAGGAATACCAAAGAGTTGGCCTGGGAACTCACTGAACTACTAAGGTGGACTCTTCAGTAAGTTCGGATCACTGACAATATCTCAGAGCTCTTGAAGAAAGCTACGACTGTGCCAATATTTCAAAGAAAGATAAGAGTAAGAGCACCAGGTAATTACAGCCCTGTCAACTTGACACTGATTGTAGGGGGAAAAAATAAAAATAAAAATGGAATGTCCAACCCTGAACACAATTAATAAATCGTTAAGGGGGGATGATATAATTAATGCCAATCGACATGGCTTAATAGAAAATAGGTCCTGTGAAACTGCCTTGTTATCACCTTCTCATGAGACTACAGTTGATAAAGATATGATACAATTGGCTTCCCCAAAGCATTTGAGTTGGTAGCACAAAACTTTCTGATTAACAAACTACATCGGTATGACTAGAATATGGCACACATTGGTTTCCAGGCTGACTGACTGAAATAGGACTTTCAGCTCAAGCAGGTCAAGAGATCCTGCAACCACTGTGGCATATGACAATTTGTCAGTGCCCCAAAGGGGTATCAAGGGACTGGAAGTACACAGGTAAGTGGTAAGCCAACACAGCGATAGTTTGGAAGAGAAGAATATAGGGAAGAAAGTGAAGAACGTTCAAAATGTGATAAAACATGTCTTGAAGAGCTCCCTCAGCTTACTCAAAGGAAAATCCAAAATAGTTAATGCACAAAAGTCACCGGGCAGGATAACTTTAATGATCATGTGAAATAACGGTCCTAGGAAATCACAGCTTTTGTAATAAGTCATTTTGGTAAAAAAAAAAAAAAAGAGTTGCTGTAGACACGGGAATCGTCATCTCTGCAACACACATGTGAAGGATCTGGGTTTAAGTGCTGTCTTTGAACTCTGGATGTGAGAACTTCAAGTTACTTGCACCACTTTATTGTGGTGAGTAAGCCTTACAGAAAGTCACAAAGCTCTCAAATTACCCATCCTGCACATCAGACGCAGAGAAATGGATCCCATTCCGTGCTCCTTATAGGCTTGCCAATTTGACGACAGCCTGGTTGATCATAAGGTGAGATGATAAAGCATAGCTGGCAGAGAGGTGAGAAAAGGGTAATTGCGACCAGAAGCCAACAGAACTGGTTGGTGAGAAATGCAGAAAAGTTCAGAAGGGAACAGTGCCAGCATGTGTTGAATCATAGAATCATAGAATGGTTGGGTTGGAAAGGACCTCAAGGATCATGAATCTTAAACCCCCACCACATGCAGGGCCACCCACCTGCACATTTAATACCAGCCCAGGCTGCCCAGGGCCCCATCCAACCTGGCCTTGAACACCTCCAGGGATGGATGGGGCATCCACAGCCTCTCTGGGCAGCTGTTCCAGCACCTCACCACTCTCTCTGTAAAGAACTTCCCCCTGACATCCAACCTCAGTCTTCCCTCCTTGAGCTTAAAGCCATTTCCCCTTGACCTGCTGTTATCTACCCTCTCAAAGAGCTGATTCCCTTCCTGTCTGTAGGCTCCCTTTAGGTACTAGAAGGCTGCAATGAGGTGACGCCACAGCCTTCTTTTCTCCATGCTGAACAAGCCCAGCTTCCTCACCCTGTCAAAGTAGGCAAGACCTTCTCAAACACACATCTTCTTGCAGCTAGGATGCAAAGTTTGCTAATTTGCCCAGACCAGCCTGGTCAAAGCTCCCAAGCAATATTTTTTCCCCTTCTTCGGTGCAGATGGGAGTAATCATGTTGATGCCAGAGAGCTGGGCTGCCTGCACAGGCACAACACAGTGACAGTGTGCCTTCCCAGTCTCCCTGGTGCTTGATGTCACATCACACAGCCTCACTGTAGGTGTGTGCAGTTCCGCAGAGGGTCTAAATTGATGCTCTTTCAGGAAAAATTGGCACAATACATAAAAAATACCATGTATGTCATAGGAAAATAGAAGAAAAAAAAAAAAGAGAGAACAGAGAGAAGGGTATATTTTTTCAACCCAGATTTTCACTTGCTCTGGATTTGGTTTTCTGTTGCATTTCAAAAGAATTTTCCATTGTTTTTGTGTTTTACTCCGATTCCAGATGTTCTTGACAATTTTTAATGCTTTTTTTCTCTATTTTTCCACAGCAAATCCCATTCAATTCCTTCTCAGAATAGCGGGTGTTTCCTGTCTTCTAACCTTTCTTTTATTTACAACATAACACTCTGCAACAGCTGTTGCATATAAGAGCAAGGAATTCTCTGAGATAAGGCTCCCTCCCTTCTATTAGTAGACTTTGCTAAGCATCTTGCTGTGACCTCCTCCAATAGAAGCTCTGTGTTTCCCAAATCTGAAACTTCTTGGACTCTGCCTGACCAGCTACTTTGATAACAGTGGTGTATTGTCACCAGAAGACCTGCAGAATGTTTATCTGTGGTCAGTGCACAGCGTTGGTTATCCTTCACAAGGCATTTCTTCACATGTCCAGGATATACTCTGCAGTGAAGCTGTACGAAGGAGGCATCATGTTGTTGCCTCTTATAGCTGCTGCTGCCAAACAAGCAGAAGAGATAAGAGGCAGACAGAGAGAGCTGCAGCCAGCAGCCAGAAATGAGAGATGAATAAGCGAGATGAAAGATGAGATTCAGCTGCCAAAATATGGATACCTAGAGTCATTTGAGAGCTCTAGACGACTTCAAATCCAGCGTGTGAGGATGACAGATAGGAGACATGGATCAACAAGAGAACAGAGCCAGATGGGATTCCTGAGTGTGCCCTAAGTGATTCAAAGTCCCTATTTTTAGGCATCTGAACTATTTTCCCAGGGAGATTCATATGCTTCATCCCTGCAGACAGCTAAGGTCTGGATGGGCTGTGAGCACTGATGGAGCTGTGGGTGTCCCTGCTCAGTGCAGGGAGTGGGACCACATGGTATTCAAAGGTCCCTTCCAAATCTCATGATCCCATGATTCAATGGACTATGCTGCGGTTTCTTCATGTAGGTGAATCCTTCTTCCCTGAACATGTGAGATAACAAAGATCAGACAGAGCAGCTTAGGCTATATTTTAATCTAGATAACCATATCAAGCAGTCCCACAGAAGCAGCTCACAGGCTGATGTCCACATGTAACAAGTAAACATAAGTGCCTTAAGCATGCAAACCAAATCTCTACCCCAGATTGATACTATCAGTTGAAAGAAACCAATGGCTTGGAAAGGGCAAGGAACAAAGAGATGAAAGCTGAGAGATGAAACGAAGGAGATGCAGATGGTGCAGTGAACTTTTCAAAACGCTTTTCCTGTTATTTGGGATGAAAAACTTCTTGCAGTATCCCATGTTCAACAGAAGTCATGTAGCTGCACAGGGATCTAATGGGACTGTTTGATGGGACTCTGAGCTCACAACTAAAGAATATGGCACCCAACTGAGGTAGTGGAGAAGCTGGAGAAGAAAGTCCTTTGGTAAGACTCACTTGAGCCTCAGTTGTCCATATGAGGCTGAGCATTAATCATCATTAACATATCATAGATACATAGAATGGCCTGGGTTGAAAAGGACTTCAAAGATTATCTAGTTCCAACCCCCTGCTATGTGCAGGGTCACCAACCAGCAGGCCAGGCTGCCCAGAGCCACATCCAGCCTGGCCTTGAATGCCAGGAATATGGCCTCTTGCCTCAAATGAGTGACAAGATTGACAAGCAGCCATCACGAGATATGCAAAAAAAGAAGAATGTGAGATGTTGAGACTGAAAAGAGAAATGCTATCTGGGTAATTAGTTAGTGGTTCTACTACAAAATGCAAAAAATAACCTGGATGAGCATAGCAGAAATCAGGATGAATCCAACAGATCGATGTGTACAGACGGTTCTCCAACATCTTCTACAGCTTTATCAAGAACTGAGAGCTTTTTTCAGCACAGGAAGGGATCAATTTCTATGCGTGCTGTCTGTTCTCTATTGCTGACTTGGGTTAAAATGAATGCAACCATCCCAGGACAGAACATAAAAAGAACCTCTGGTACACTGAGATGAGCATTACCTTTCTTCATCTAAAACTGTGCACTGAGGGTATTTAGCAAATCACTTATTTTCTCTGAATCTCCATCTCTTCTATTACAGATTGGAAAAATAATTGTTTTTTTTAACAATTGCCAGCTCAGAAAGGTAAAAATAAATGGTATTTCTAGAATGTTACTGCTGATATCATCATCAGATCACCCTGAGGCAACAATGCTGAGGAGCTAGGATCACTTTGCGGATAGACCAACACACATTGCTTCTTGTTTGTCTGAGGGCTCAAACAGAGGTTTTTCAATCCGTTCCAGAGCATGAATAATCTCAAAGCTCCCTGATTCTACTGATCATAACTGACACTGACCACGGATTATGCCACACACTGAAGAACAGACGATGGACCCTCCAACATCAAAGGCCTCCCAGATCTCCCAGCTTTTGCTGTACCTTCCCATCTCAGTTTCCCTACAAATTACTGTTTTAGCAAAGTCATTTGGATCTGGTTGATGTTTCAAAAACTCCACTTTTACCGTGATTTTTCCTTTGTTACATATTTCTAATGTCACTGAATTTCTTACAATTATGTTTTAACCACCTGACTTAGTTTATTTTTACCTGAAAGTAAGATGCCAAGTGCTCTTAAGGGTACCAAAGTACAAGTAAGTTGTATTTTCAGAGCTTATCATCATTCTCTAGCAGCTGAAGTGAACAAAATACTCGTACTGCCTGGAAGTGTTGGTTTGGCACAGGCCACTGGATTTGCAGCAACTACATGGCCAAAAATTCCTGTGCCAAAAACGGGGCATGGAGATGTTACACAACAGGGAGGAAATTGGATCACATGATGTCAACCTCAGATCCTGCTCAGACAGTGTTGAATGTTGATGTCCACATCTATTAAATTTGTTTACTAAACTGTCTCATTATCTACTTTGTGTCAGGATTTCTTTAGGGTGGGGTAGAATTGGACAGATGGGCTTCAGAACCTTCCTTCAGGCACGGAACAGCCAGGATTGGACAGATGGGCTCCAAGAAGCTACCTTTAGGCCTTGAACACATGAGAAGAGAAAGAGGAAGGGAAAACACACGCAATCTCAATTTTAGAAGTAAGCACAGAAACCAGTGAAAGATGTTGGAAACTTGAGGTTTCTACCCACCTATCATCTTTGCAGCTCAAGCTGGAGCAAGGGCATCTCTCCAGAAGAAGCTGGACCATGATTCAACAGCTGCAAATACCTGTTTGGCTTTTAATGTCATGACTAGTCACAGATATGCTGCAGGGGACTTTGTGCAGCTAAGTGCTTCTATGTTTTTTAATAAGCTTTTTAGCAGTGAACACATGCTTTTTCTTAAAACCAATATGAAACCACATTTAAAGTACCATAGATTGAAAGTAAGAAATGACTGAGAGTCTTTTAAGTATATAGATACATTAACCTCCCAGATTTAGCTTTTAAACCCTTTTTCTTTTTTTTACAATAGGAAACAAGGCAGCAAAATAACTCTTTTGGCCACTGCTGTATTAACTAAACAGTCCCTTGAGATTAACAGCAAACAAATACTGGAGATCACAAACAAATTATCTTTTTAAAGTTCATGAAACCAATCTTGAGAAAGGTCAGACAGTGATCAACAATGTGATCCCAGAGTCCTAAGGATTCCTGTAAGTAAATACAATGCCCAGCTTTAAGAACCTTGATAATTAAAGGGAACTGCTTAATAACTTCTGTGCGGAAAAACACTGAGCTGTCCATTGCAAGTAATGTGGAACAGCCCCAGTAATATTGGGGACTCTGAAAGCACTAGAACTAGGGCCAGGCAGCACCTCAGCTGTACAGTGGGTTGAGAAGAACAAATGTTCTGAATCCAGCTGTGCCAAACGTACAACATGGAGAGATTTTCAGACAAAACGCTTTTCCACCTTTTGCTTGTGTTGGCTTTGAATATCTCTGTTACAACAACTAAGAGCCTCACAGACATCAAGGACTGCTTGAACACTGCTTGAATAAGAGCCTGCCCTGAGGAATTGCTGTCTTATGAAGCAGCCCCACGTGAAGTAGGGAGAACTTTCACAAGCTCCAGATGAAATCTCAGCCACCATGAAATCAGGAGAAGTTTTGCTATTGACTTCAGTGGAGCAAGGACTGCAGTAGTTGTAATATGATGCTATTAAATGAACATGTAATTAGTTCCAGCAGATAATCCTTGTATAGTTAATGTGGATTCTCAGGGTCCACACTGCTGACACCCAGATAGATACTGCAGCAGTAGAATCATACAATCATTCAGGTTGGAAAAAACATTTAAGATCATCAAGTCCAACCCCAGCCCACCCTCATCATGCCCATGGACCACATCCCTCAGTGCCACATCTCCAGGGTTCCTGAACACCTCCAGGGATGATGACACCACCATTTCCTGAGCAGCCTATGCACTAATGTCCAACATGAATCTCCTCTGGTACAACTTAAAGCCCATCTCTTCTCCTATTGCTATTACCTGGGAAGAGGTAACAGAATGACTAGAAGGTTTCTAAACCAAAAGGTTTCCTTCTTTCCTCGTCCATCAAGAATAGAAATCTCCAGGTAACCCCAAGACAGGCTGCTCACTTACCCACGTTCAGTGTACCTCCCACAACCACAATACAGGCTGCACTCAGGACATTGCTGGAGTTGGTGGGGAACTCAAGAGTCCCAAGGATGTAGAGACCTCTTAGAGGAGGAAGATCTGTGTCCACCAGGATGGTCCGGTCTGGGAAAGAAAGCAGAAAGTGATTTGGAATGTAAGCATGAAAGTGGAGAAGCTTGAAACGTTTGGTTTTCTTGAGATTAGATTATTTAAATTTTCAATTAGAACCAGTGGAACAGGACTTGTGCGTTTGTGCCACTTCCACAGCCAGAGCTTCATCTGCAGCTGAGCATCCATGGCATGACTTTAATCTGATAAATGAATAACATCATATTTGTAATATTATATTCATATTTGCATGCGTAAGTCTCATCAAATGTCACGTATGAACATGAAGAATGCATATGAATGGCAGCAAGTTGGAGACGTGTCGATCTCATTGGGTGAGTCTGGTTCTATTTGTGAAAATAAATCTTGATCAACTAATACAATACAGTGTGAATAATTTAAGCTGTCCAGATGATGTTTTTCACTCGTGATATTGCAGAGAACAAGAATGAATGAAGTGAAAAACTACTGCATTCCCTGTTAGTTGGTAGGTTGACAGAAACCAGGGGAATCATTGTTCCCTCAGCTACTTGAGGATAAAGCAAGGAGCGTGAGTCACTTCTGACCCCATTTCCAAATTCCTTGATCCCCACTTCAATCAGGCTGATACTAGAAGTGCATTACAGCATTGGATACCACCGGAGATCAATTCATGACTTCCTGGGCTAGCTTATTTCTGTTAATTTTGGACTGGCATTGGCTGAGCACACTGACATCACTGCTGCCCCCCCCAAATGTGCAAATTTACAGTCGATGAGCCATCCAAATGCCAATAAAGCTTTCATTCTAGGGCATGAGTAGGACTTAAACAGCGCTTATCTTAATGGTAGTCCACCACACGGAGGTGAATTCCCCCCTCAGGACACATCTAATGTCCTTTAATGTCACTGGGAGGTTTTCACTGGAAACCACCTCAGACCCTTGAATTGCAGTGTTCAGCTCCTTTCCTTATCAACAAGAGTAGCAGCTTCCTGGAATGGAATCTCAGACACAGCAGACGTGCCTGTAAAGACGTTCGATGTACCTGTTTTTACCGATTTTACCTTGTAAAGGGTTCGATGAGATGCTGCCATTCAGACTCTTAATGTGGAGCAGAAGTCCCCTGTAGGATTGTGGCCTTCATAAAAATAACTTGCAGAAAATGTCTATTGTCAACATAAGGGCAGTTGCCAAATCCTACTCAGAGATTTCCTGTGGCCTTCCTTTGATATCATGCGTATTTATTGTGAGGCACAGCTACAGAAAACAGAAGGGATTAAGGAGCACCCATTTTCCAGTGGCCTTTGACACAGAAGTGTGAATGGGCCACCTGAAACTCCTACTGACATGCAATGTCTTCAGAAGTGAATGAGATGTTCCCCTATATTCTTCCCCTATATTCAGCACTAGTGAGGCCGCACCTCGAGTACTGTGTCCAGTTTTGGGCCCCTCACTGCAAGAAAGACATTGAGGCCCTGGAACGTGTTCAAAGGAGGGCAACAAAGCTGGTGAGGGGTCTGGAACACAGGCCATATGAGGAGAGGCTGAAGGAGCTGGGAATGTTCAGCCTGGAGAAGAGGAGGCTCAGGGGAGACCTCATTGCTCTCTATAACTTCCTGAAGGGAGGTTGTAGTGAGCTGGGGGTCGGCCTCTTCTCTTGTGTCATTAGTGATAGGACCAGGGGGAATGGTTTCAAGCTACGGCAGGGGAGATTCAGGCTGGACATGAGGAAGTATTACTTTTCAGAAAGGGTGGTCAGGCACTGGAATGGACTGCCCAGGGAGGTGGTGGAATCACCGACCCTGGGGGTGTTCAAGGAAAGACTGGATGTTGCGTTGAGGGACATGGTTTAGTAGGAGCTATTGGGAATAGGTGAACGGTTGGACTGGGTGATCTTTTAGGTCTTTTCCAACCTTAGTGATTCTATGATTCTATGTTAACTCTTTTGCTTCTGCCAACACCATTAGCACCCTCTTTGACAAAAACAGAACCGTGCAATGCTCCAGGAAAGTCTTCTCCTAGGAACAGGCAATTAGTGAGCCATTCATTGTGAAGGTTTGTTAAATCTTCTCAAACTGTCTGCAGGAAACATAAAACCACACAAAGCACACACAGAAGGGGACTGCAATGATATGAGTAGGTTGGTTCAATGCCTGCATGCCCAGGTCCTTTGGTTTTGCAGTCCTGATGCGTCACAGGTGTGTAGGGAGAGGGAATCATTGCCTGCGCGGGGGGCCTGGGTCTGCTTACAGATTTGCTCATGCTTTCTTCATACACTGTCCTTGTAATTCAGTCTTTCCAGTCTTCCTTTCCATTTTTTTTCCTTCTTTCTCTGCAAAGGACACGCTGGTTGCTCTGTTCTCAAAGCGTACACCAAGCACTGCAGCTATCCATGGTCACTCAGAACACCCCCATCTCAAAAAAAATCCCTGCATTCTCGGGCTGAAGCATCACTCAAACATGTGACGTTCTCACAGCATTCCGACTTAGTAAGTCTCTACAGAGCAAATGCAAGTGCAACATTTTTTTCCCTAAATCTCATACCGACAGTACTCAGTATATTTTCATAGGCATGAAGAAACTCTTGTCTATAATCTCTTTATAGGACAGGTGTAGTCCTATGCCCTGCAGAGCTGAGAAGGCTAGGCACAGTATGTGAGGATACGAAACAGAGGGAAGAGAATAAGGGGAAAGATGTTGTTAAAATGATATCTCTCAGACAGAACGGGTATCTAGTTTGTGAAATCACAGCTCGAGAATGTGGCAAAAAGCTGCAGCTGACAAAGGCCATAAGTATATTCATCAAACACAGACTGAAACATTTTTACAAGGAAAAGAAGGGCTCCTAGGCATACTATTTATATGTCAGGTTCCTGTCTTGAACAGGTATTTTTTGCTGAGTTGCACGTTCTTCAGAAAAAGGTTTCCTGGAGGAAATTGCAGCCTCTCTGTAACTGTAGCATCATACATGTGAGCCCTGGAACACAGTTATATGAAATTCTCCCAGAGAATCTCTGCAAACCTGGGGTTTCCTCAGTTGAACAGAGCCACAGGGTGTGATGCCTGGGGTATGAAGTTCTCAGACGGGGAAATGTTGCTCTGTAGAGACAACAGAAGGCTCCTTCACAGCCAAACAGGTTCTTGCGCACTTGAGAAAGACAGATTCAAGGGAGGCCTCAGGATGAACACAGCCTGTACAGAATACGCTCAGTCATATATTCTAAGGAGATGGCTACAAAGGGGTTAAAATCATAAACCTTCAGTCACTGAGCTCAAGAGATTCACTTTCACAGAATGACAGAATTGAGTGGCTATTCTCCAATGAAGACATTGTCATAATAGCAAGCAACTGCTTTTAGAAAGCGATAGTTCAAGCCTGAAAACAGGGCTAGATTTCATTATCCATATATTTTCTTCTACACAAAAGCTCGCAGGTATGCTACAGTCTTAATGTTCAGATGTACCACACTGAGAACTCGCTAATGACTCCAGTACTGACACAAAATGCCTTTGATCAACTGTATTGCACTATAAAACACCATAGCATGCCATTGAATGGAAATCAGGCACAACAGAAGAGCTATTATATGAGATACAGTACTCCAGCATTCATCTCTTCAAACAGAAAAAGTTCAAAGAAAATCAAAATCAGAAAATGAATAACAAAGTGAATTCCACCACTGAAAAAAAAAGAAGAAGAAGAAGAAGAAGCAGAAGAGGAAGAAAAAGAAATTGCCAGAGGCGACATGATATCATACCAGTACCCTTCAAAACAGCATTCCACCAGCTGGAATTATAACACGTTCTCCCAACCCTGAGCGTGCTGTGTCAGGAGTGTGTCACACTGAAAACCATAAAGCAAAGCCCTGAAAATCCAAGGGCTTGAGAAGCTAATGCTGCCAGACCAGCATGACTAAACTCCTCCAGCTTGTTTTTCAAGGTGCAGAAGCTGCTCAAGCCTGTGTGGTGAATTCAAGAAGTCCTTGCGGGACGGCTGCAGCTCTGGAGGGTTAAGAGACAACAACGCATATTCCTGAAGCCAGAATTATCCAGCTGGAAGAGACTTAGACCTTCAGGGGAGTCAGACACTAAGGAGACTTGCAGCATTCCAGCACTGAAAGTTAATTTAACAGGAGAGACCCACCTTTGCTGCAAGAACTTCTGAGTTTCACCAATGCTTTCGAATAGGGCAAAACCAGAAGACCTTCATATTCATCCTTATTTCCAGCTCTCCAGATTCACTCAGAGATTTCAGCACTGTGTGAAGCCTGGATCAAAGTCCCCCACTGCAGTTCTTTGCACTAGAAACAAGATCTGAACAACCATTACTTGCTTTTTTTTCATTCAGGGCTGAGAGGACTGACACAGTAAGGCAGAGATAGGCCCAGAACTTGGCTTTCAAGCTGAAAATCACTGTGGATAGCTTCCAGAACAGGTAATTAGGAGTAGCTAAAATAGGCTACTCACAGAGATCCCCCACAGCCCCTGGCCGTGTGCTGGGCACCCTGATCTGGTTGGCCCTGCTGGAGCAGGGGGAAACAGAGGGATCCAGAGTGGATCTTGGTCTTAAATGGTCTTAAACTGAGACAGGGGAGGTTTAGGTTGGATCTTAGGAGGAAGTTTTTCCCCCAGAGGGTGGTGAGGCACTGGCACAGGTTGCCCAAGGAGGCTGTGGATGCCCCATCCCTGCAGGCATTCAAGGCCAGGCTGGATGTGGCTCTGGGCAGCCTGGGCTGCTGGTTGGTGACCTGCACACAGCAGGGGTTGGAACTGGATGAGCACTGTGGGCCTTTGCAACCCAGGCCATTCTGTGATTCTGTGATTCTGTGAAATGGGAAGGGAAACATGAATAAAATGCCATGACTAAACAGCTCTTAATTATTTCATTCTAGATTCTGGATCCAAGCAAGGACCTTGCATTTCTTGCAACTAGAAACTCATATACACAGTTGTGGCTGCAAAGCAAGGTATGAAAAATGGACCAAAATTTCTTCTTGCCCAGTCTTCTTGCCTAGCTTTCATTTGAGCATACGGTACACTTGTCACACTAATAATGGCTATGATTCCAATTTAAGACACTGCACACTGTCAACTCACACCATAAATACAGGTTTCAACATCTCCAAGCCAAAAAGAATGAGGAGGAGAGGAAAAAGAAAGCAGGAAGCAAGGAGAGGGTAATCAGAAGAGACAGATGGGCAATCGAGCAGTTCTTTCTCAAGAGAGTTCAGGTGATGGACAAATTTGTGTTCTTACTCTTGTTGCTATTCTTGGGCTAAAACAGAAGAACAATTCCAGAAATGGAAGGGTGAGGAGAAGGGTTTCTGCACACCTGCTAATCATATATCTCAATTCTAGCGATAGAAGCCAAGGTGTTTTTTATCACTGATAGGAATAAGATGGGCCTGTCCACCAGTCCTACCATTTTCACATACTGTTTCCTTCTTTTTGTCTGTTAAACACTTAGTTGTGTTTTTTCTACTCAGTAAAGCTCCTCTGAAGAACAGTCAGTTTTACTGCCTGCAGTGGAGGAGCTGAACACTGCAATTCAGAATTGCAAGCTCCCAGTGCCTAATCCCACTCAGGCACTAAATTCTGACCCCAAAGACTGTGAGGCCACATTGCACAGCAATAGGCCTAAGCTAACGAGCTTTGCCTCTCAGGAGAGCTAATTAGTTCTGGTATATCAGCACGCTGATGCAGCAGTCTTATTTCCAGTTCTAGAACTAGATCAGTTGGGCTGGGCTGTGGGCAGTGCGTGATGCTTCAGGCACAGCTTAGTCATGTAGACAGAGCCTTGTGGTGTGTCACAAAGGCTGCAGTCAATATCTCATGCAGCAGCTTAAAATGAGACAGTTAGGAGGAGGATTACGCTGACATTTGCAGGAAACACAGAGGTGATTTGTTCATGGGTGAATTTGCAATGCAGCAAAGGACCACCAGAACCTCAGCAAGCAGTTTTAGCTTCCCTAACCTAATCAGAACAATCCAAACCGTTAGCCAAGCTTTTTTAATTACTACCTCCTGTCTCTGTGTAGATTGTAATTTGCTTCCTGAGACTGTAGGAACACACTCTATATAATTTATTAATGTCAGTACAGAGGCCTCCACTACCACTGGCACTCTTGTCTGTCTCTGACACGTAGTTATAGTTTTTGAAGGCTGAAATGCTTTGGTCATGGGTTCTAAGCTGGGATGTTTGTTGATCTGGGTATAATGTGATACACAAGAAGTTGAAACGTGATCTGTTGTAGTTCCCTTGTCTTGTTCTTTGAGATCAAGGAAGGACAAAATGCAAAATTCATCCATAGCAAGAGGACTAGACAGAGAGCAAAGCACGCAAGAAATGCATCGCTGCTTCATGCCTACATAAGGGTTCAGGTACAACAGAGGTGAGAGTGGCACAGGAACCAGGAAGAAAGGACACTTTTTCTCACTAGCAAACAGGTGCAAGTTCAACATGTGGAGTACTGCTGTGGGAAGAGAAAAGCAAGCCCACTGTTTAGGGTGCCACGCTTGGACTTTGTAGATTAGGGTCAACCACTTTTCTGGTACAGATTCCCTCTGGCCAGGCCTTTACATGGTGCTGTGTATACACACAAGGGAAATAAATACACACCGTCACAGAATGGTTTAGAGACATACATTAATGGCAAGCTGTGCTTTCTCTCCAGGCACTCCTGAATGTGGTCTGTAGAAATGCTGTTCAGGATGCACTTTATGATGCCTGAACTAAGTCATCTGATAAGAACAAGGTGCCTAAATGTCAATCATAGTAAATTAGTTTAGACATTTAGCCCCATCTGAAATGTCCTTGGATATTTGAGACCTCCACACTACAGAACTGGCAAATACGTCATCGGGGACACAATTTTTAGCTTTAGAAAACCAAATAATAAGTATATTTCAAAATAAATATTGCAGTATTGTGGTTTGAAAACATTAAAATATCCTCTCTCTGATAAGAAAAATAACAGCATAAAATATTTTAATTTTGTGAATTTGTATTTTGTGAACTTTGTATTTAAGGCCTTTTATTTTTAGAAAAGCTATTTGCTGAAATTAAAATAACTTCATAAAGTGTTTCAGTAAATCTGAAATTCTGTCAAACTTAACAGAAATTTCAAGGATGGGAATGTTTCAGACAAAAATCTTTTATCCAGCCTTCAAGTCAATGCAAACTGTCTCCAAGAAGCTGAGTGAGGGGGCAGTGTGACTTATCTTTTCTGAATATGAAGTATTTCTTGCTACATGCATACGGCTTTTCCCAGTTATTTCTGTAGAAGATTTGATGCTAAGAACACGTCCTGGAAGCATAACAAGGAAAACAAAATAAAATCCAACTCAACAGTTACAGAATCACAGAATTATCTTCACTGGAAGAGACCTTCAAGATGATCCCAACCAACCACCAGCGTGACCTACTGAGGCCCATCATTAAATCATGTCCCTCAGCATCATGTCCACATACCTCCAGTAATGGGCACCCCATTTCAGTGCTTGACCACATTCTCCATGAAAAAATTCTTCCTAATAACCAACCTAAACCTCATCTGGCATAACTTGTGACCACTGATATTGTCAGTCACCCTCATATCTGGAAGATCTCTCCAAAAAACTTCCAGCTCTAAAGGACAGATAGTTGCTCAGAGAAGGTCTGAGCAAAGATGCTGACCTTGCAGTATAGGGAAAGATCAGCAGACCTTCTGTCTGTCTTTCCAACTGTCTCAGCAAATGAGAAACTCCAAACTGATTACATTGAGACCTCTTCTCTTCCCTCCCAGTTTTCCCAGCACTTAGCTCCCAGACAAACAAGTGTAAAGGCTGTTAGCCTGTTTTTTAGTACAATGATGACATATTTTTAATGATAGATAATTAAGTCCAAACTGCTATTTACACTCCACACTAAAATGCTAGCACGCAACAACAGAAACTTTTTTTCCACATTGATTTCATATGCCAGAAACGCATGGAAGAGTAAGAGACAAGAAGCAGCATTACCCCTATTTCCAGATGTGGAACTGTGGTAGGCACACAGACTTAGAAGTTTCACAGAAATGAGGAGAAGCACCAGGTCCCAGAGTACGTCAGGTTCACAGCGTTCAGAGGATCATAAGATAATTCAATCTGAAAGGAACCTCAGATGCTCATTTAGTCTAACTTCTTGATCAGATCAGGGTCAGCTTTTACATAAAAAGGTTATCACAAGTTTTCTCCTCCAAATGTTGCTGCAAGCTCCATCATATCTTTGCTAGAATACAGAAAGGTGTTCATGCAATAAAACTGTAAACTGAATCAGTATTTAAATGTAACTGAAGTTTGAGGCTGAAATACAGACAGATACTGAAACATCTGGGAGGCACTCATGGCAAACGGACTGAGAGGTTATCACTGATACCAATAATTGCAATAGGAGAATAATATGGAAGGTGGCACAACTGTGGAAATGTGAAATGTCCTCCCTGCACAAAACACAGAGAGGTAGGCCCAGAGATGAGACCTTTATGACCCACGATCCTGCTCCTAAAATAAAGTCCCTGCATACATTTAAGCCTGGACATCAGCATGAGTAACACTTTGTCTGTTTACGTGCACACAGAAAATATTATTCTGTTCCAAAAATCACACTTGTTGATCAAGAAACCAACACGATCAGGTCCTGCATACACTAGAGTAGAGGCTGGTGACAAAGAACACATGCTGTATCTGTACTAACATAGAGAGATCTAAGCACCATTACAGAAATTAAACACCATCATTTCCATCCTTACTGGGTAAGATGATGACATCTTCTCCTGGACCTGGGATGCTGCAGTTGAATCCACCCCAGCCTTTTTCCACATCCTTCCATGTCTCTGGGTGCGACCATTTCAAAACAGAATCAGAAGGATCTACAAAATAGGACGCATGAAGAGAGAATTATTGTTTTCAGTAGCTGAGAGCATTATTGTTTCTGAGATAGTTAAGCATCTGTGGCATTACCATCCTCCTTTTGTCAATGATGAAGCAACACTAACTGCTCTATGTTGCCTTCCATTCTTAAAGGAAGTTGCCAATAGGAGAAACAAAAACACCTCTCTCTCCCAAACCTGTATTTTTGGAGTTAAACTTCAGGAAGATAGCTGAAAAAGAGATTCAAATTGTTTGGGATCCAGGAAAAGCGAAGCAAATCTTGAGGCTTATGGTTTGTGAATATGCATCACAAACAACAACTTCATGGTGACGAGTCTCAAGCACAAGCGGTATGAGAAGCAGCTGAGGGAACTGGAATGGTTCAGCCTGGAGAAGAGGAGGAGGCTCAGGGAAGACCTTATAGCTCTCTACAACTACCAAAAAGGAGGTTGTGGTGAGGTGGGGAACGGCTTCTTCTCCATGTAACTAGTGACTGAATGAGAGGGAATGGCCACAAGTTGCATCAGGGGGTGTTCAGGTTGCACATTAGGAAACATTTCTTCTCCAAAAGAGTGTTTAGGCACTGTAACAGGCTGCCCAGGGAGGAGGTTGAGTCACTGTCCCTGGAGGTGTTCAAGAAGCATTTAGATGTTGTACTAAGGGACATGGTTTAGTGGGGAGATACAGGTGGTAGGTGGACAGGTGGACTGGATTAATTAGAGGTCTTTTCCAACCTTGGTGATTCTATGATTATTTTTACTTACATCATCCAAGGCTCTGAGCACTCTGAACACAACGTTAAAATGAAGAAGCAAAGATACAAGCCAGTCACCTTTTCTTTTGTGGCAAAACCAGAGGACAAAAATAGTAAATTAACAAAAAAATGTCAACTCTTCTCACATGTTTTTCTTCACCAGTGTTCTAGAAAACAGATTGAATTCCTGGAGTATGCTAAATTGTGAAAGTTTTTTTAAAAATGAGTAATTAACTCTCACTAGATTTTTAGCCCATAGAAAAGCAATGCTGTGCACGTGGTAACGAAGACCTGTGGTGAAACACCAGCTTAACTGGGACACGTAGCAACTCCTACAAAGTTTTAATTTTAATGTTCAGCTTAATCCAAAGGGAAACTTTTGAGTCTCAGCAGCATCAGGAAAACATTGGGAGAAATAAAATGCACAAAGTGTAGGTACTTGTGCTTGCATTTTAGACAGCTAATGAGCCAGTCTTACAAATTAATTGCTTAAGCTTGCTGTGCCATCAGCAGAGGAAGGAAAGCCTTGAGGGAAGTCCTGCACACACACGGTTTCTCCTGTCCCAGACTAATGCAGACTGGGCCTCCCTCTGGAGGCCTGTGCAAGCACCTACCTCTGACTGAAACTGTTTTTTTTCATGAGGGGAGCTTCACCAGACATCACTGAAAACACAGGGCAAACTCATGCCTACGTGCAGTGGACTAGAAATCACTCAAGAGCGCTGCTGAGAAGAAAAACTGTGCTGCCAGCATACAGTGAAATGAAGCTCAGCATCAGCTCTTCAAGGCTGGGTATTCTTTTACTTATAGGTTCAGGGGGAAAATGCTCTGTAAAAAATACCTAAGCCTTACTGCTACATAAATGATTATTGTTGATAATAAACAGCAGGGCGGCTATGAAACTCAGATCCAGTTTTGGAGGTCTCCCCCAATCTCCGGTGTATTATGCTGTCTGACTCGGTGTGTAACTGTGCAGTAATGTCAGCCTATTACACTAAGATGACTGCAGAGCACTAAAACACACTGTACTCTCACATTCCCCATGACCTTCCTGATCTTCTGTGGCATTTCTTAGCAAAAGTTTATGGTCTTTTATAATGTGGAATCACACATTTATCACGAGCAATGGTAGATATGGCTCAATGAAATGCTTAAATGAATGCCAAGAGCCCCTGTTGGGTTGATAGATGTACAAAACACTGATGTGAAATGCAGCAATACAGCTCTGAACAAGTAGTAAAAAGGAAATGGTGTGACTCCCAGACTGAACCTTTCCGACACAGACTCACACACCTGATGTAGGTGAAGGGGCTCCTTCCTTCTCTTTCAGCTCCAGCTGAATTAAGTCAGCTCCTGTGACTGAACACAGAGAATTGCAGGGAGTTACAGCAGGGCCTTAAAAATTCACCAAATCAACAACAAAAATTCACAGCGAGAGAATTGCTACACATGGCTCTCAGACAACATTTTACATTTCCAACGACAAGATTTTTTAGGAACGACTGTGTGTTTTTTCCAACTCATTTTTGTCTTTTTTTTTTTTGTATTTTGAGAAGGGAGTAAACAAATACATTTTAATTTGCAGATACTAAGGGTCTCAAGACAACTCATTAGAAAGAGCTAAAAGAAAACATTCAACAATCAGAAATTCTAGGCTGGAACATGAATCTCATTTATCCCACTATAAATCCACAGCAGTTCCACTAACACAAGCAATATTACACCATTGAATGCATAATGTATTAACTGGATCAAGCAACAAATTACAGCTTTTGTTTTGTAGTTTGGTTTTGATTCCTCCCCCCACCAAATCTGGTATCTAAAAGAGATGCTTTAATTAGTCAGACTTTATAGACTGAAGACAGGGACCCTGTGTTCTGTACTGTGAAAAGAGGTCAGAATCAATTATCACAGTTGTAACCTTTCTGCCAGTATACTGTCAGCAGGAGAGGGGTCAGGATAATGCAAAGCAAGCTAAGAGGAGCAGAAGAAAACTGCTTCAGAGCCAGCTGAAAGGCTACCTCTTCTTCATCTCCAGTGGCATATAAAGGCACTTCCTTTCAATCACCAGACTGGAACAATCGTAGGTTAAAATAGAAACGCTCTGCCAAACAGATAAATCTCCTTTACACTGCCCAACCCCTTCTGGTGACCCTAAAATGCCATTGGAAGAATTCTGGGGTAGAAGAATTGTATAAATAAAGCCATTGTCAGAACTTTCCTCAGTTCTGTCAGAACTTTCCTACACACGTATCAACCCACCGAAGGGATTTCATGCCGTATTGTAATTTACTTATTTTATCTTTAAACAAGTCTCTGTACTTTTAAATTGTGAGAATCACCCTTCCCTACCTCCCTCTTTTTCTCCCAGTGCAGCTGAGCAAATTTAAAATAACTGAGGTTCATTAATTTTAAGTGTTCAATAAATTAGTATGAATAATCAAAAAACTTGATTCTTTCCGATAATTACTATTTGATGTCAGTTGAAAGCACTCGATTGAGTTAGCAGCATATGCTCCTATGCCAAATGAGGCTTCCATAATTAAATAGAAACTGATTCCATGAGGTTTTTCTCATATCTGATTAATTAGTAATCAGGTGCCTTAGCCCTGTTCCTCAGCGACACCTTCTCTCCCAGCAGTAGCTGTGGTCTAACTCGTGTTCACTCAAGCCAATCTGCCCCAAACCATCACACGGTGCTCAAAATGAACAACACCATGTCCTCGGGTGGCCTGAAGCTGAAAAATGACATATGGAGGACATAGGAACATAGAACCATGGAATGACTTGGGTTGGAAAGGACCTTAAAGATCATCTAGTTCCAAACCCCCTGCCATGGGCAGGGTTGCCACCTGCTGGATCTAATACTCATTTAAAGTCTTTGGCATACAGTTAATCTGGCTTTTAGACAACACCCTTCTATGGGCACTTGCCTCCTCCGACATTAACCCTTGCAGAGGGCATACATCTCACCTAATTTGAAATGATGACTAATTAGTCAGCTTGGACCCTCATGGTGTCACTGGAGGTATCTCAAAAGAACTATCCATCCATGTTATTATACTCCTTAGGGATGAGATACGCTGTAGAGAGAGACCTTTCTCTCTCTGTAGACTATAAAGGATAACCAGGGTAGGCTTAGACAACTCATGTAAGATATCTGTATCAGGAGAAATTAATCTCCCTGGCAGAGCTCCTCCTCTAGGCTACACAGACTAGCAAGGGAAAGAAAATCACACCTTCAGAGCAACAGTCTGACTGGGAGACTACTAAGAAACGACTGCCTTGGAGGGCCATTTTTGATCCTCTTTTAAGATGTCCTTCCTTCTCCTCTCACTTTTCAGAGAGCAAATCTGGAGCCAAAGGTGTTACATCAATTCACAGTAGTGTCAGGACAAGTGAGAGAACCAAGCCTGACACTATCCTATTTCTTGATGGATAGGTTTTGCTTGGTTTTTCCGACACTACAGTGCAATTGTCTAATCAGAGATGTTTTCATTGTTCAGAGAAAAGTTCTGTTCTCCTAATTAAATCCTCAGGGGACAAAAAATCTGCTCAGTGTTCTAAAGACCTTATACAGGCGTTCAGATCCTGCACCCAGCGACGAAAGGACCTGTTAAGGGTTAACTAGGTACAGCCATTTTCTGAGAAAAGAACAAAAACTTCCCACGTTTGAGGTGTCATCCAACCACACGGCATGACAACTCAAACCACGATAGGCCATCTGTACCCTCCACATCAGCTCAGGAATGTGGGGCTGAATTCTCCCCAGCCCAGCTGCTATCACAATTATTAATGTTGATTCAGGATGAAGTGCAACGAGCATGAACCTGTCGCATTCCGTTGCCTGAGAAGTGATCAAAGCAGGTTACGGGCCTTGAGAATCATCAGGACCATGGTGACATAGTTATCCTGGTTGTTTTGTTTTGCTATCGAGTACGTTATCATTGTTTCTGTACAGGACAGGAAGAGATATAGGCAATACAGGCAAAGGACGTCATTAGTAAACATTGAATTAAGGTGTCTCTTCACAAAATGCAGTTATAAGGCTCCAGGGTTTAGTTGTATAAAACCTTTATAAGGCTCATCAATTTTCTGCCTTATTACAGCTCTTCCTGGATGCTTGGGCTGTGAATCATAAATATAGGCCTTCCTGACTAACTTTTTTCTGGTTTAGGGCTCCTTGAGTGAACATGAAGGAGGAGCAACCTGGTCTTTTATCAGCTTTGCAGTGACAGGGAATTTTGCCTGTGGATATTAGGAAGGGCTGAAACCAGGATAAATGGCTCCAATAGCCTGACTAACAAATAACAAGCGCCTCTGTGCTGTTTAACATCAATTGGGCTAACATATATCACAGGGAAATCAAAACTTTTAGACATCACAATCAACAATGTGGTACGACACACCTCTAGAAGCTGGAGAACCTGGGATGGGATTTTTTGCCCTTCCTCTGCTTGGGACCATTCAAGGAGGTGCCCAGAAATATGGTATCCCGGGGATACTGCACTAAGAAATGATGTAAAAAAGTATCTGGGCAAGTAGAGACTGATTCCTGCCTGCAGCATATTAGTGATGGAGATGAAGCAATGAAATTCCTGCTGCAGACATCACACACACACAAGACCATTGCTGAAAGGATGATGGAAGCATTTCTGACCACCCAAAACAATGGATGTAGGGTGAATTTTATCAGGATGGATATCAGTGCCTTCAAAGAAATATTAATGCAATTTTCAAGCTTTTCACCTAGGATTCCCCTTTGTCCCTGAGCAATAAGGCTGAAGAAAAATACATTTATTCTCTGTATTTTAATATTAGAACCAAACTGTCTTAAGGGCCTGTTTTCCTCCTACACGAAGCAACTACAACAACCCGTGGAGCAAACTGGAAGTGAGATCATTCTCTAGGAATTTAGAAAGACAATAAGTGTAATCAAATTATATCTTTTTTTGAACAACCACGGAAACTGCAGACCTGCTTCTGACACAGCAGTAACATGAGATCCGGCCTCAGGCCCTCTTAACAGCTCACACATGAGCAGCCTGAGCAAAGTCAGCAGGGTGACCTGTCTCCGTAAAAGCTGTGTCTAAGGAAAAAAATGCATTTGGGGTCAAGAAAAAGTTTGATAATCCTTCCAGAGATGTTCACAATATTGCCCATGACAAGTGCTTGCATTTCAGAAAAAAAAAAAAAAAAGCCATGTTGGATGGAGAGATGGAGCAAGCCAATGCTTTGTTTTATTCCAAAAGAAAATAGTTTAAACACTTCAGAAGTGAACAAAAAGGAAGCAACATCTCTCTGGTTTGCAGCCAATTCCACTATTGCCCAGAGACCTTAACCAAGGAGCAATCCCACGCTGTGGCACCATATGCTCGTATTTGTAACAGACTTAAAAAAGCTCATAACGTTATTACTGTCATTTACACAGGACATTTCTCCTAAAAATATCCCAGATGTCCCACAGTGTGATGTTTCTTTCCACCTCTCCTGTTACAAGAAGGGTTTTTCTGGTACAATGTGGTCATTCCATATGAAGGCTGCCCTCCTGAAACAGCGTTTGGGAAACATAGAACGGCCTGGGTTGGAAAGGCCCACAGTGCTCATCCAGTGCCAACCCCCTGCTGTGTGCAGGTCACCAACCAGCAGACCAGGCTGCCCAGAGCCACATCCAGCCTGGCCTTGAATGCCTGCAGGGATGGGGCATCCACAGCCTCCTTGGGCAACCTGTTCCAGTGCCTCACCACCCTCTGGGGGAAAAACTTCCTCCTCATATCTAACCTAAACCTCCCCTGCCCCTAGACGGAAACCACACATCAATTCAAAGCCTGTCACTGAGGAGCACCTCTATGACAACATGGCGTGCCCCAGAGAAACAAAAGGGGATGCTACAAAGACTGAGAAGCATCAGAGCAAAGCTGATGGTGTCAAAGAGACTGGATTCTCCCCAGATTCCTCAGACCAAGATGGTCCGAGTCCTCACTTCCCCTCATTCAGCACTAGCGGGGAAATGGGGCTCTCCCTCCTTGAATGCCAATTCTTCTTGGTCTGAAAAGATTATTTCTAAAGGGAACTGGTAAACAGAGGTGACATATATAGGTAGCAGCAAGCACCTTTGTTAGCAGGATCTCAGCACAGGTGCCCCACATCACAGCAGTGCTCCCCCATCACAGTGATTTCTTCCCATTCAGCACCCCCAATATGGTCCCACGCCTGCGCCTCATTTACAAAAGTGTGAGCAAGCAACGCATCAAGGCAACTTAACTCCTTTAATCCCCTCCATACGGTATGTTTTCTTGCCTTTTGTATCAGGCTTTTTTTTTTCTTCCCCATAGAGAAACACTTGCATGTCACTGGGCAATTCTGGACAGGGGGAGCGTGCACAACGCCCAAGTCATCCATGAGCCAAGGTGGCCTTGCTCAGCTGCCCTCTTCATTAGAATAACAATATCTCCTCCTCCACAGGGTCTTCCCTCCCCTTCTCCTCCTCTTTTTTTCCCCCCCTCCCCCTTGTGTGAATTCGGGAGCCTGCCCATGAATGAGCTGGCATCTGATCCGTATTTACTGACGTTAATTTTGGATGTAACGCAGCCCTGCCACTTCCCCGCCGTTCGCCCTAAAAGGCGTCCCGGCGGGCACAAAGGCAGAGGGTCAAAAGTAAGCTGACCCCTGACAGAATGTACAATTATTAGGACGAAGCGGGACACAAGCAGCTGTCGAAACCCCACCGGTGCGGCGATGTGCTTCCCAAAGTCAGAGTATGAATAATACGCCGGAGCTCTCCCCTCCGCCCTGCCAGGGCCTACGCCGTTCTGCAGGAAGAATGATGGCCCTCCCGAAGCAGCTGCAATAATTGTGTCCCCATTGTCCCCCGTCCACCCCCTACAAGTGCCCATTGTGGGCGCGGGGTCGGGTGATTACATGCTTGGGCTGATGGCGTTTGGGCCCAGCTGCCCGGCTGCTGACACACGAGCAGCGAGAGGGGGGACCCGCGTCTGCGAGACGGGCCTCCAACATACCAGACCTTTTACATAAGTCAAACAGGAACAAATGACTCTTTATCAGCCCCTGCTCCCTTTGAAGTGGCGGCTGCTTATGGGCCCTTACAGCTTTTCCTCCTTAGCCCGAGCAAACATCCTCCTTTTGATATGCTACATGCTCATTATCTCTGCCCCATTTAATGATTTTTGATTGAAGGGTGGCAGCGCGGTTGCCAAGAGGGTAGTTAAAGAGGCTCCACACAGGCAGGGCTACAAGAAATGCTTTCCTTGTGCCGCAGACCTAAATTTGGAGTTTCTTAACAGTGTGTTCTTGTTCTTAGCAGCAGATAAGGGCTGAGCGTGAAATTCTTAATTAAGCAGTAAATAGAGAGTGGGGTGTCAGCAGATGCAGCCTGTAGCCATGGAGACCAAGTCACATGAAGGAGGGAGCTGAGACTAAACGCCGGCCGCGGGCTCGGGCATGACTGACAGCTGAAGAATCCGACAAAGCTTGTAAACGGGATTAATTAGCTGGCCAATTATTTCATATAGTTAAATGTAACTAAAAAATAAAAACAGCTCGCAGAGCGGGGTGGGAAAGCGTTCTGAAGGCCAGAGCCCCAAGTGCTGTCCTCTCCAGGTCGCTGCGTGGACCTTGTAGGATACCAGTGCCAGAAGGGACTGTGGTCGACTTCTCCAACCTCCTATGGAGCACGAATCCCAGCCCACGAGGATTCTAATAGCTTCTCACAGAGCTGGAGCACACCTCTCTGAAAGGACGCCTGACCATCATCTAAGGACCTTGAGTGATCGGAATGCCACATGCCACGAGGCTGCTCTGATGGCTAATTATCCTCACCCTCATCCTGCACACACGAGATTAGGAGAGAAATTAAACAGCACACCAGGGCTAGGAATCCACACACTTTCTTTCACACTTTTACTCTACCAACAGCGGTAGGTATTAGTTACCCAACACTGAATTATTGATCTCAGTGCTAGCCAAAGCTGAAAATGTTCATTGCATGACTTATACATGTTAGGCATTACCATAAATTTTCCTTGGTGTATTCTGATTGTTTCTCTGTATATCAAAATGAGAAACAGCATTGAGCTCTTCATATCAAATGAATCAAATGAAAGGAAAGCAGATGAGGAACAAGAATGTATCCAACATGCAAAAGTGATATGTGCTGGCCTGATCATTTTTTCCTGGTCTTCTCAAGCCCATCCCTTTCCCCAGCAATTGTAAGAGGTCAATAAATATCTTCTGAGCTTTCCCATGCTGCTCTGTTTATGAAAGTGCAGCTCAAGATACCCAAACTGAATGTGGTTGACTTTCATATTTGAAAGAACGAATCTGTGCTGTTAGAAAACTGAAACAATTAAAACAAAACAAAGATTTTTTTGTTTGTTTGTTTGTTTTGTAGTGGATATCTAACATGATTTTGGACCAGAGTTAGGCTCAACAGCTGTACTAGCAGACTAAATAAAGCCAAGTTATGGAACTAAGAGCTGGCTCCCTGTATTCTATAAGGTTATATTGCTGGCCAAGCTCCTGGCAGAGCTTTGGCCCAGACCAATGCACTTTCCCAGATGGTGGCCATTATGATTTGAGAGTTAGCACAGGACAGGGATCTTTCCTAATTTGAAGCCTGGGTGCATCCAGCCTGTTTTAAGAGAGAAAATGTTAAGCTGTATGGACACAAGCTGTGCGGTGCCAGTTGGCCTCAGGACCAGAGATAGATGCAGCTAGTGTGAGCCTTCAAACTGATGTTAAGGGATAGGCCTCTTCACGTCTCTTGAAATGTACACTGAATTATTTCATTGACACTAAAGACCAAGCTTAGAGGATTACCTGCCTTCATTCCAGCTGTGTTTCCCTATAGACCCCACAAGAGAAAGTCATTTGCACGCCATCTCAACAGTATAAACCAAGAACAATTTATGAAAGAAATTCATCAGATCAGTGACAAAATGTTCTGTTCCTGTGAATTTCAGCCATCTTGATACTTCAGTTTTCCTGTATGATGATCAAGAAGCTGTGCTTCATGAAGTGAACTCCACTTCACTCAAGTGCCTTTGTGATTCCAGATTCTGCAATTATTGATTGCAACCATCATTATTTTTCCTTCCACATACAGAACTTAGACCTTTTTAAAAAAAGTGACTTGAGAACAGGAGTTATGGAAACTGTTTGCATTATAAAAGAATAAATTAAATTTGAAGATGCTGGCAATTCCATTAAATATCATCAAATACCTGAACTTTCTGAAGGAGAGACCACCACATTTCATGATCCAATGTACAAATGTGACACTCAAAAGTTTGTGTTGCTTTTGAAAGTTTACAATCACAGGAAAAAGCCTCACACAGCGAAATCCTTTTGCCTTCAGTGGGCTCCATCCTGGATAAACTGCACCTGGTTTATAAATGATATGTGTGATATGGGACCAGCTGTCACCAGAGATCATTAGTGGAATTTAATGCTTTTTCCACTCCAGAAGACCAATTGAAATTCAACTGATGCCACATCAGGCACTGTTAATGACACATTCCAGTTGTTGTTAGAACAGATGGATACTGACCTGATGTGCACACACTTACCCATTTCACTGGTCTTACTGAAGGACTGCTCACTTACTGAAAGGCCACTGCAAAACCTAATGGCTAAGGCTCCATAGCGTCCAGTGGCTTTAACTGAAAAGATTCAGCTCTGCCATCATACTTACCCAAGTAGGTTAGCTTCCTCAGTGTGCTGTCGAGATACCAGTCACAGCTCCTGTGATGACCATAGGAAGGCAGAGATTGGAGTGGCTGTCCAGTCCTTTTCCCACAGGACACCACAACCTCAGGCTGGGCAGGAAGATCCTTGTGTTCCACCAGCAAGTAATTTCCAGTTGTGAAGTTGCTAAATGTGACTGAATACTAGAGGAAGAGCCAAAATAAACATGTCTGTCTCTGTGATTAGAGTTCTACAGATTGTAGTATAAGAGGAATAAAGGGGATGGTGTTCCACATGGGCAAAAGACTTTTCTGAGCAATACGTATTGAGATCTCTGGAACTGAGTAGGTAAAATTAAGCAGGAGGTAATGATGAATGCAGATAAAATCATCTCCCTTTGTCACCTTAAAAGATACAGAGGAATAATACCTTCAGAAAACTATGCTTTGTGATGTTTTAAGATAATATGAATTCTGTTAATTTCTTCACACCACACTTTAATCTACTACATTCAAAACCTTATTCCTACTCCAGGTTACTTCTGAGGGCTTCAGAGTTAGGTCACCGTATTTGAGCTCTGCTTACAAATGTAAAGAGATTTTCTCTCTGCCCACCCAGAAAGAAGAATGCACGATTATCTTGTTTAAATATAATGTAGAAATTACAAAAAATGTTGTGTTACCTGGAGCTGCTTGATGACCGAAGGGCTGTCAAATGTCAGTGTGTAGGTCTCTTTATCCAGGAGCAGACACATCCAGCCATGCAGGTCTGAGAGAGTGTCAGGGACATAATTGACTGTGGTTGTCTTATTCCTACTGTCAATCACAGTTAAATTGTAGGGAGTCTCTGGAGCCTCTCTTCTGGAGGAAAAATAGAATATAATCCCTTTTTGTTACTCATCTTTGTCATTTTGCAACCTTTACATTTTAATTTACAACAATAAACCTTTACAGTTTAATTTTTATTTGAATACTGTAGTAAGTATACGCTTTCTCTCAGCATCCAGATGAGAACTTAACACTGTTTCTGTTTTTCACTAGTACTTTCCATGCTTGAATTACTCAGAGGAAAAAACTCAACACTATCAATGATAGTAGTATCCATCAGCAGTATTAATAATATCATGAATTGAGGCTGAAATGAGCATAACTACCAGTCTTGAGTATGGCAAAAATTTTACAGTGCTTTCTCTTCAGGGGCAAACTCCACCATTTTCCTGCACATGGACTTTTTTTTCAAATTATGCTAAACTGACCTTGATTTTTTGAGATTCTTATTAGGAAGACTGCTAATTTCCCCAAGATGCCAGGTTGTGTATCGTAATGCCTAAAAATACAGAACACGCAGCTTTCAGGAACTGGCTTGTTGAAACCAACGAACTACACAAAGGAAAGGATAAGGTTGGATATCAGGGAACATTGCTCCTTAGAAGAGCGGTGATGCAGTGGCACAGCTGCCAGGGAGGTGGTGGGGTCACCTTGGAGATGTTTCAGAACTGTGGAGATGTGACACTGAGAGACGTGGTCAGTGGGCTGGGGTTGGGCTTGGTGATCTTGGAGGTCTTTTCTAACCTGAATGATTCTGTGATAAAGATGAAAGGCATTTAACCCTTTTGATATTCAGACATTGAATATCCACATTTGATTCATCATCTGATTAGAAACTGCTTCAATACAAGGACCTATATTCTAGTCCTCAACATCTTGCATTTCTGCAACAGCTCTCGAAACTGAGGGAAACTATGGCTGAAATTATGCTCTGGTTGGCTACACTGTGCTACTGCTTTAGCTCTGGAATTAAGACTGAGAATGTCTTTGTGTTTTCATACCATAGAAGACACCACAGAGGGCCCTGTTGACACGTAAAGCAACCTGGACAGTCTTATTCTGTAAGAGAATCATGCCACTTCCATTAAATGTCAACAGAAAAGTGATGATTAATCTTCAAGACTGAAGGTGCTAAAATATTGTTTCAGTCAAAATGTACACAACACCCAGGTCCATGCGATGTGTGAAAGATGTAGGAAGAGTGACATAACAGCAGCTGGAATTTTAGCTCTTAATTTTAGGCACTGAACTAAGGTCGTACCTGCCTCTTCTACATTTTGTGCAAAGGGAATTGCTAGAGATAAATGTCCCAGGACTTCAGATCTCATTCTCAGCTGTGGAGAAGCCTCGCTGGCTTGCCAAGATACCTTGGGGCCGTGAGTCTGCCATGATGAACGCAGCAGATTTATGAATGAATCAAATGCTGCTGCAGAATCAAGGCAAGTTGGCCGTTTCACCTTTAGTCCACTTCGTTTTGGCATTTGAGCTGACACCGAGCTAAAAATAAAAAATCCTTTTAGCATATCTGAAGGAGTATTTCTCATTCTCAGAGTACTATACCAAAACGAGGTATCTCAGAACGTTACTCAGTGTTCCAGACTGGATGCAGGCCTCTTTCTCAAGACAGACAACACTGAAGTAGATGTCATCTCTTATTGTGATTTACTGTATCTGTAATTTTGGGGGCTCTTTTGTTCCTCCTCTCTAAGGGGACAATAATTACAGTAGCAAGCACCTTGAAGGTGGGTTGCCTGCAGATTGTTTTGTTTTTTCCTCTTTTAAAATCATTTCCAATTTTGCTTTGCTATTCTGGTGCCTGTCACGTTGGCAAAGGGCTTTCTGATTACCCAGAAACATTCAGCTGAGAAACAGCAGTGGTAAACAGGGGAAGTGTGAATCAGCGAAGAATCACTCAACCAGAAGATATTGGCAGACCAATGAAACTGACTGGAAGGAGTTTATAAGGCTTAAACTGCTTTCGTACTACTAATAAACCTCCTCTTATAGGCATTAGCTAGACCAGGATATTAGGCTGCTAATTAAGCAAGTAAATGACAACAAGCACATTACTGCCACAGCTATCAGCACCCGCACAGGTATTCAGGAGTACATTTTTAGCAGCAGTAGCACGCCAAACATGGTGTGGTGCAACATTAAACTATGTTGTACATCAGCATTGTCTTATCGAGTTACCAAGGTACACAGTGCCACAGCAAGAGACAGAGTCTGACACGTCCCCTGTGCCATGTAAATCCTTGCCATTTTGCTCTTTATTTTTCATTGATGGGGGTCTGCAACTTGATGATCCTTGGGGTCCCTTCCAACCCAAGCCATGCTATGATTGCTGGAAAAGCCTGATCAGACTGCTTGAACCACTTTTCACAAGAAAACACTTTCCATGCATATAGCAAGGTAGTCTGGGTTCCCTGACTTTCACTGGGAAGTTTGTTCACGACCTGGAAGGAAAGGGAGCAGGAGAGAAAGACTGCCTGGCATCTCATGGCCAGAAACATCTGGGATTTTCTTGACATGGCACATCACGTTCTTGCTTTTCACGTTCCACTCCTGACATAGAGTCAACACACACACCAAAAAAATTGGAAGGAACATGAAAAATGCAATTCTGCACAGAACATTCGTACAAGGAAATAATGAGCTTGACACTACACTCCCCTTGAAAGGATTGTGCTTGTTTGTTCACCTATCTGCCAAACAGACACCAAAATGGAAGTACTTTACTAATGGAATTACCAGCCACAATTAGCACCATTTCCATTTGCCCTAAATAGCCAGCGATTTCACTGTGCCCTAAATAGCCACCAATCTACCTCTCCTTAATGTTAATGGAGCAGAGTAGTGCTCGCACACACAAGTATTTCTAATTCAGAGGATCTGAGGGAGCCTGCACGCATCATTAACATGGAGAGCTTCATTATCAGAGGAAAGAGCCTTCCCCCGAACTTCCTCTGGCTTTATTTGAAAGAAACTAGGAGGCAATGGTCTTAATGCAAAATTAACCCTCACTTTAAACCGCTGGAAGCCTTCACAAACTGTAAGAGGCAAAAAAAAAAAAAAAAAAAAAAAAAAAGGATGACTCATTGAAAAGGCTGTATTTTTATATAGAAGCAGGTTTCAATTAAGGAGCAATTTTCTCTAGAAATATGGCAGGATTGCTAGATAAGACTTTACAGTCTGAGCAACAGTTTACCAATGGTAATCACATAAACGGTTACGTAATACAGCTCAAGTGCATTGTGCACAACTGCTCGGCATAGATGGCCCTCCAAGGATTTGTGAAACCAATCCACAACATCAAGGAGAACAAATATTAACTCTCCTGTTTATGTTTACCATTAGCTTTCTTATCCTAAGGGTCCATATCCGTGCGTACGAAGGCAGACGCTGTGCTCAGCTCTAACTGCTTTCTGTTTGATAGATCTGCGTAATAATCCCTTATGATTATCCCTTTCCTAAAACAGGAAACAATACAGCATCTCACTTCAAACAGGACGCCAAATGTTTATAGCAACAGTCCCATTTATTGTTGGCCAAGTGGAGGCTAATCCCAAATTATGGCCACAGCAAACCCTCTACATGTTTGATGCTAGGCCCAAGAACTTTACTTTACTTTACTTTTGCTTTACATTTTACTTCAATTGCCAAGAATCTGAATTTTCATCTGCTTTCAATAAATGTACGTATCTTTGTCGAGAAATACCTTGCTTCAAGCCAGATTTGTACTGTGAATCCTTATCATCAGTGGGCTTTTGTAGGCAGAGATCTTCAGGAAACTAACAAGATTGCTGTCCCCAGTCCTGAGCGGCTATTATGGGATAGGCCTTTAGACTTTGCAGTGCAGAAGAACTAAGATGATGTCAGCAACTGGAAGGGTTGTGAACGACAAGCTAAGAGGGCACCTTTCGAGGTAGCTTTCAAGCTACCTGCATCTGTCTTCCTAACTTATTCCTGTTCTAGGATCAGTTCCCCAGCTTCTACAATTTACAGGCTGGTATTTTAAGCAGAACTAAAATTAGGAATGCATTCTGAGCTGGAATATGGCCAGTAAGCAAGCAGCTCAAACAACTGCAGTGTAAGCACAGCAAAGACCTGCAGATGGCAGCTTAGTCACTCCACTTATCCCACATCAGGTGGAGTTCTGAAGCACCCAACAAGAATCTTAACATTTGGATGCATGTACTTGGAGCATGTTTTTACAGCACTCTCATTGCCCACTCAATCCTGTAAAAATTAATGCAATTTTTGGACTAATAATTCTTTGGTTATGATAGCATGCCCAGCTGGTAGACGTGGCCTGAATCTATTCAGCCCATAAGAAGCATCCAAATAGCTTTTCATTGAAGGCAAAGAAAGCACAGGACTATCAAACTCTGCCTCGATGCTAAATACCTCCCTCTGCACCTAGGAACACTGGAGCCAATAGCCAAGCTGAGGGCTAGGCTCAAGGACACATCTTGCATACTCATAAGCCTGTACAGGATACAGCTTTATTGCAAATACTCTAAGGTGTAAGACAAATGTCAAGAGGTCCTGCACTGGGAAGCAAATCTCTCTTTGGTGAGCTGGCACAGATGAAGCTCTGAAGCTCAGCTGATGCTCTTGTGGACTGAACACTCAAAAGCCAACCCTTAAATATTTGCTTCTATGTGATGCCACTGAGAAAGTCCATGAGGCCAAGTGAGCACTCATGCTGCCCCATGTGTGAATCCCATCATGTATGCAGGGAGGTTATACTACCAGAGAGCAACTGAGCACGTACACATTGAGTAAAAAACAACAGTGACAGTCAGGGTGTTTCACAGCAGGCGGGTGTTCATCTGGAGGCACCACAGTAAGTAAATATCAAAGGAAAAGCAAAACGAGAGTAACTGTTTGAACTCTCTTCAAGACTCAAAGACCCAGACGTAGGGGGTATGCTATTCTTTTCAGTCTAACCCATCAGCAACGGCTGGGTGTGCAGCAACTGAATGCATGCACTACAGGAGAGGATATTAGACCAGATTTAAGAATTAAGGCTATAAAGAAGAAGTCAATCTTTTCCTCTGCAGCAGACGAAGAAGAGGGAAACAATAAAAGGCTCAAACGACATGACTGGTGCTGAGCAAGACCCAGCTTTCTACAGGGAGAAGGGAAAAGCCAATGAAAGGGAACAAGAGGCAAACTTCCTCCTGGTACACGAGGTTGCAGTGTTTGGAATCCCCTTGGCCACGAGGTGCTGCGTGGCTGCCGATTATTCTAATGCACTCCTCTTGTAAAAATTATGCATAATGTGAAGAAACTTTAAAAGTCACTTAATCACGTTATGACAATTTTTTAATGAAAATTTGTTTTAATATTAATAGAGACTCATATTTTCTCCATAATATGGGTAGCGGTGGCATTTGGAGCAGCCGTATCTAGCCTGCAGCCATGCTGCACTGTGCCATGGCATAAGCTGTTCTTCAGATTACTCAATAACTTTCCCACATATAAATTTATAAAGACTTTTATAAGCTTCAATTACATTTTTAAAAGACATAAAAACCCTCTTTAAAGAGTGTTTAAGTGACACATTAGTTTAACTTTCAACTGGACTTCGTGGAGAAGGCATTGTTACAGCAATGCAGATTTGGAAATGGATCCCTGTTGCTCTGGAAGTTGTTGAGTGCAGTAATTTAAGACGGGAGTCAGCAACTGCTTAACATTCTTGTTTTCTATAACAACAAAAATGGGTTCCCAAGGTTTTCCTCAAAAAATAAAATGAAATAAAAAACTCAGACATTTTCCAGACACATCTTGTGGAAAAGATGGTGCCAACATGCTATTGTACCCTGGTAAATTAAACAGAATAGACAGACAGACAGTGGGGTGCCTACATTCAATTGACCACACTGTAACTGGACGTGCTTTGGGCTTGTGTCAACCGATCCTCCCCCAGACAAATCCCAAATGGGAACTTTGCTAAAAGGCAGCACTGATACAACTTCCCTGATCTTTTGAAGGCTAAGAAGGTGCATAATGCAGCTGTGGCCAAGCCTTGCTGGCTGTCCTCAAAGTCAGGAAATGAGCTTGAGGCTGCTGAGATAATGGTAACTACGCTGTGCCAAGCCGTCTCCCTCCTGTGTGAGTAAACCACAGAATGGTTGAACTTGGGATGAATCCCGAGGGGTCATCTGGTCCAAACTCCTTCCCAAACAGGACCATCAGATGCTGTTTGGTTCTCTGACCAACCACCTTGCCATACCAGGACTTCTCCCGCAAAATCCTCCCTCAGACTTTAAGATTTTTAGATCTGGATCCAGTCCTCAGGGGGAAGCAAATAAACACACCAAGTCCCTCACGCTTTTTACCCAGGAGCACAAAGACCTGCACCAAGAGAGAGCTACCAAGCAATTATTTAATTGCTATTGCCTGAAATCATCTCCTTGCTCAGAGTAAGTTCATATCAAAGTGAGGATGCTGTTATGTTGACACTTCAGTCTGATGGTCAACAAATGTGTTTCCCAATCTTAAAGCCTGGACTATGAGGCTCACATCCCATTTTTTCATCCATGGTTTTCACAGTCCCCATCTTCCCAGCTGTAGGGACTTTGCACAAATGGTGAGGAACAACTAGGAGCCTAACGAAGCACAACCAGGAACTAGCAGGCTGCAGAGTTGACAGGTTTTTTGTACTCCTGGGCTGGTAAAGCACCGTGGAAAGATTACTTCCAGAGCTACATTTAATTCTTTGCTCATCAGAAACTAAAGAAATCCAAGCAACAGTACTTTCATCCTTTTACTGAGAGGAGTCCAAGAGACTGCATTGCTAGGAAAACCTTCCTGTCACCCAGCCTATCTTTCTTCTTCTGTCTGCTCAACTGCTGCCAATTGCTCCCAGTCATGTTTTGTTATACTAATCCCAAACAATTCCCTTTTTATTGCAAACACTCTTCAAATACATCTGGACAAAATTCTCCCTTTCCCTTTCCCTTTCCCTTTCCCTTTCCCTTTCCCTTTCCCCTCCCCTCCTCTCCTCTCCTTCCTTTCACAGCCATGTCATAGTTCACTAACTGACCTGCATCCTTCAGACTTTCCAGCTCCTTTCACTTTCCACCTTGCTTCTCCACCAACTCCTTTTTGGAGCAAGGCATCCCTTACTCACTGCTCAGAACAGCTGCTGTTTCTGTTCATACAGTCACCTAAATATGACAGTGACTTGGCTGGTAGGAGCTGCTCAGGAAAGAGGATCTGGAAGCAGCACAGACAGGATGCTCTGTCTTCCAGGCTTAACGCTGATCTCTGCTACCCAGACTGCTGATTATCTTTGACTTAGGTTGACTCTCAGTTCATGCACATGAATAATTATAAAAGGAAAGAAAGGTTGGCTGAGAAGTGCCTGATTCCCTTGATATGATTTACCCAAAACTCTGAAGAAATTTATAGGGAAATAAAGTGTAGATCAGGACTCAAACCCGTATTTACATTTGCTCCTCAACTACCTTTTGATGCAGAAAGGAACTACCTGCACTAGGACACATTAGTGCCCACATGGTGACCACATGTACTTCAGGATGATATCTAAGTGTGTATGGCTTTGACTCAATTGGAATTTGCTCATATGAGTTTTTGGTTCACCTGCCAAATCATTCTAGTAATTTTTGAGTGCTGAATGAGCTCTGGGAGCTACATGACTGTTTTACTGCAGTTGCTCTCATCTGTAAAGTGATTCATTCATTTATGCTTTGGGTTCCAAGACAAAAAAAAAATGTTATTTTTATTTCAGGATATAAACAGAGGTGTTATCACAGTCAAGTGTAAACCAGTATCTCATCTAATTCAGAAGAGCAATTATCTAGTTGCCAATAAAGCTCTGTCTCTCACAATCACAAAAGCTGACTCTTGAATTTCCTATCTCCCTTCTACCACTTTCTGATGCCATAATATTGATGGTAATCTATAATCATATCGAAAAATATGCTTATGTTGTGATCTGGGTCAGTCTTAATAAGGTTTGCTGATGTGAATTGTCTACATTTACCTCACAGAAAACAAATAAAAGCAAAATGAAAGACCACAAAGACCTTTTGAGGTAGGTAAGAAAGACAAGGCCAGAACAGAATGACAGAAAGTCTTTTAACTAAATATATCATGAAGTTATTCTACATTCCGTACCATATGGCTACTTATTGTATGAGAGATGGGACTGGGAAATAATAAAACGCTGAATCTAGTTTTAGTAGAAAATATAATACACAAACCCAGCTTTTCATGAAACTAACACAGAAATGAAATACGATACCAGAAATATTCTGCTGAAGAATCTATTCATGACCACCCATTCTTTGGGAATTTGGGGGGAACTCTCTCACAGTGAGCATAAGAGGAAACATTCAGACCATGACTTAGACTCTAATTAAATTAAAATCATTTTTGTTATTTTAAGACTGCATCTGCTCATCAGGGGCGGTGTTCTCATAATCTGTGGCTATTTTATATTTCAGCGGTCAGAAGATCTTGGCAATGTTTCCAGCTCACCCACTAAATTTCTGATTGTGGCTGAGGCTCAGCCATCAGTTTCACCCTGACCACACTGAGCCACATTCCCAGTTCTACAAATGCCCGTTTATATCCCTCTGGTAAGCTGAAGAAAAACAGAATAGCAATACACCACAACCTCCACTTAAAGGTCAGTGTGATGCTGTACAAAGAATGATGTGATGTCCTGTCTCCAGGATGAGATTATAGGTGGAAAACCAAGGTAACATGGGGTGAGCAGCTTGCTGAGAACCTCAGAAAAACAAATTAAATATGAGCAGGCCATTTCTAAATTAGTAAATCAATTAAACAAAAGAGAGCTCTCTGGCCTGGAGGCCAAGGGATGTTTATACTCTCTGTAGTTGTCCATACAGGCGAGTTCTCCTCCTCAAAGCCATGATGACTACACCCAAATTGCCCATTGGAAATGGTCCTATCCTCTCTCTCAAGCCATGCCATGGGAACTGTCTGGGCAAAAACAAGTAGCCTCAGCAAAGAGATCGTGCAGACAGCAGCAGAGTCTATCTTAAGTCAATACAGAATCATAGAATTGCTCTGGTTGGAAAAGACCTTAAAGATCATCAAGTCCAACCACGACCTAACCATAGCGCCCTAAGTAACAACGTACCACTAAATCATGTCCCTGAGCACCACATCCAAATGGTTTTTAATCAAATGCAGGGATGGTGACTCAACCACCTCCCTGGGGGACCTATTGCAGTGCTTAACAATCCTTTCTGTAAAGAAGTGTTTCCTGACATCCAACCTAAACCTCCCCTGGCACAACTTGAGGCCATTTCCCCTCGTCCTGTCACCAGTGAGAAGAGACCAACTTTGCGCTCGCTGCAATCACCTTCTATATATATATAATGCAATATAGAACATAACAAGTGATGTCCATGCCAAATTTTGAAATGTAGCTTTCTTACTTACAAGTAAAGAGACATACGGTGGAAAACAAGGTCCTTGCTGCATACACTGCCACCCAAAGCTTGGCTGAAATTGGCACTGGTTGTGCAGGAAGCCACAAGGATGTCTGTAAAAGGGAGAATACGACTTCCTTCCTTCCCAGTGACAGAGCCATCAAGATCCTCAAGAATGGCAGCATGTGGAAAGGGGAAGGACACTTGGAAGGGTGAGTTGGTGAACGTCAGATGTTCAAGGCTCACTGTAAACCCACCTGCGAGGAGAAAACAGCGGTTTAGAAACACAGAAGAAAAAGAGATTAGCTTTGCTTTATCATCACTTTGGAAGTGTGACTACTGGTTCAAAAAGAGAAAAATGATAAATAGATTAGAGAAACAAAAAAGATGCTTGCCATGTTCTGGCCAGGATTCTGTTGTCTGATCCAGGTGCTGCTCTACCAGCGTCTCCTGAGTGACTCCAAATATATCTTCGTAAGTCTAAGTGCCAAAAGCTAGTGTCCCCAAAACAGTGATTCTTACACATCCTTTCTGCTCCCTTTATAAAACAAGTTATTCAGAGATAAGGGCTGCGTATGTATGCGTGTAAATAACACGTTCATATACAGCACCAGGCACAGTAAAGCCTTGGCTGAAAAGTGTGGCTGGAGTATGTTTACTCTACTGTTGATACAGATAGATTCAGCAAGGAGAAATATTCATGTGAGCTAAAGCACAGAAAGGTTCTGAACACATGAATATTTCCAGAAATGACAGAAAATTATTGTCCTATCAACCAGAACAGGTCAGTTTTGCCAGGAGTGTCCATGTGCCTCATTTGGTTACTATTTACCTAGCATACTGTCAGTTGTAGCTTCTCTGAGTCAGATTTTACTATTCCTCCTGTCCTTTGATCTCGGCTCCTGAAGTCTTTTTCTCTCTTATGTTATTGTAGGGCAGTATACGTTTATATATAAATATATTTAAGAGGTAATTGCAGTTGGAACGCTCTTCAAAGAGCCTTTGGGTACTTCTTCAAAGCTCAGAAGGATGCTTAGTTTACATACGTTATCTTAGGCAAATTCACCTAAGGTTTAGGCTGGCCTGAGGTAGTAGCTTGGTAAAATTCTGCAAGGATGTGTCATAGCTATTAAAAAATCCTCACTTTTGAAATGTTACCTCCCAAAATGAAGAAGCAACAAGTCAGAGTGTAAAAACCCATTTCTACGTCCCATTGAGGAAATGAAATCAGTTCAAAAATAAGGCTACCTTTGTCTCAAAAAACCACGTGATACGTGGTTCCAACTAAATGATGAAGCTATTTCACTGGCAGATAATTTGGATAACTAGCAACCTGACCCTAAGTGCACATAAAGCAGAGCAGTCCAGCAAAGTCAGCAAAATGCGGAGGGTTAAATATTATTGATGGATGGTTGCTATGCATATCATCACATGATAAAGTTTCTCAGTTCATCTGTGCTGCACAACATGCACATTATTCATCCTGCAGCTACGTATCACCATCCTATGGCCCACCTCCAACAGCAAGAGCTGTTAGGCTGGTATCCCCACTGAGGAAGTGAAGCTTAGAGAGCAATGATTCTGAAAACTACTGCATTGAAACATAGGGGAAACACACATACAAACCAAAACCTAGTCCTGGATAAGTTACCTACAGGTAAACATGGTGATAAGATGGCTGAAACCAAACAGGTATTCTTCGTCATTGCACAATACTCGTTCCAGGATTCAGCTGAAACGTCTATCAGTGGTTATGGAAGCTAAGAATTCCTAAATAGATTAATCTGAAATGCAACAACTGTGCGAACACTGCTAAATGGGTGCAAGTTATACTCACCCTGCCCTTGGTAACAGCCCGAGCAGGTCCTGATAGCTGTGCAAGTGCTCATATCAAAGTTTCTAAAAGCTGTGTTGGAGATGAATAGCTGGAATCTTTTGGGAGTTTTCAGTCCTGCTGACATGCAGGTGTTATCCTGCCATGAAGAAATGAAGAACACTGGGAAACAAGTCAACATGTGGATGCCCAAGCCTGATGAGTTCAGCATGCAGTAGCTGCGATACAAGATGACTGCACTCAGGCCTCTGGTTCTGGGGTAGCGTGTGCTATTTGAAGGACATGCATTAGCTATTGTGTCACAACTTCTAATAATTCAATAAATAACATCAGTCTAATTCACCAAGTATAGTATGCAGTAGTGTTTCTTTCAGGGCAGCAATGACTTCGTTTGCTCTGTCAGGCTATTGGCTACTAGGAAAAATTGGACTTTTCAAGGGAGAATACACTGTACTGCCTCCTTGGCTTTACCTTGGTTTGTCCATCAGGCAGGAGATTTCCATACTTTATAAAGCCAATTATCCTAATTGATGTTACAAGAAAAATCTGACTGCTGAGACACAGAATATTTCCTGTGATCGGGGGTGGGGAGAGTTTAAGCTGGACACTCTTCAAAGCTCTGGTTGAATTCAGGGTGTATCAGAACAATAAGAAATTAAGTAGATCAGCAAGAGACAGGAAAAAGCATAACACGTGAAAAGGAAGAGCAAAACCACAAGTGATGAGGAACATAAAACAGAAACTAGATTTCATGGTGGCTGTGGTCCATGACAGAGGGGGTGAGTGCATCCTCTGTCCATTTATTCTAGAGACAGGCTGGGAAGAAAGAAGTATTTAAAGCCAGGGGGTATTCTGGAGGAGAAAGCTGTCAGGAGCATGTGATGCCATTTCTGAGGCCAGTAAACAGTTTAGGAAAACAACTCACAGAAGTTATGACAGAGAATCAAGGGAGCAATCAGTCCAGTGTGAAAGCATCCTCTAGAATGCAAAATTTAGAACGGAACAGACTTTTAGAAACAGTTTGTCACTTCAAAGGGGTGTTGTTATCTTTAGTCTAATTAAGAGACAGCGTCTTCATCACTTCTCTTAGAGCAAAACACCCGGTGTAGTGGTCCTGGTCTTTGTGCCACCTCCTTCTACATCACTGCTAAACAGAAATCACCTTGCTGCTGGTAACAAATCAGATTTGTAGGTTTTTAGCTTGTACTTGCCTGTTCTTCCACCATTTCTATGGTTTTTCATGATCAGTATATAGAATAAGGGTATGAGATGGTAATTCTTCCCTTAGTGTGCATCACATCTCAAACCTACCATGTTTTCAAAAAGAGATGCTGTTCCTCAAAGAGCCCCACACCAGCACTGAGTTTCTTTATGAAAGCATGCAAGAGGCTATTTGAAGTCTTTCCCTTTTTCCCTTTCTACAGACCCTGGATCTGGCCCTGCTCATAATGTGTTAAATGATCAAAGCCCCAGTACTGAAATGCCCTGGTATTTCCAGAGCCCACTGGTTTAAAGCACCACATTCAAAAACTGTTGGGGGAGCAGAGAGAAATATCCACTGTTCCCATTAAATTAGTGTCATAAAGTTTTAATTGATATTAAAGAGACATCATTATTAAAGGGAGAATTACATAAATTAAGATGTAAATTATGACAAGGAGGCTCTTATCATGAGATAATCAAAGATAATCACCCCCCTGGGGTGTGGGAAGAAACAAGGCACAGCTGAGCGCCTCTAAATCTCTTAACAAGTACAGCATCAGAGTTCTACCGTGGATCCTGCAAAGCAAAAACAAAGACACCACTCTTTCATCCCTGAGAGAAATCCATTGTGTCATTGAGCCACTGTAGGACTGGACAAGAGAGACCAGGATTGTGTCCAAACCATGTGCTTCAACAGAGTTACAGCAGAAATATCTTCTGCAAGGTTCTGAAGAAAACTCATTTAGAATTCTTTTCTGCTTGGTCAGAAAGAAAATTAAATTCATAAAAAGCAGCAGCAACCTAAGCAGTGCAGAAAAGACCTCAAAATCACAAACAAGCTGCCATGGCCAGCTGTAGCTAAAATTTCATCATCATCTGTGTTATTAATCTGTTAACAAGCTGGTAGCACCCAAATGACTTTGTCTGGCTGCCTGCAGAAATAATAGAAGATTGTATTTATTGCATTAAAAATTGTTATATTCTGGTGGCATTGACCATTCTCAAGTAAATAAGCAGCACTGTGTGTTCTCAGTGAACCAGGGATGGTATGAGGGAGAAGAGGAAATCAGAATGTTGTCTAGAATAGAAATCAAACCTACCGTTCTCCTATGAAGAAAGGCTGAGGGAACTGGGCTTGTTTAGCTTGGACAAGAGAAGGCTCCAGGGGGACCTCATTGTGGCCTTCCAGTGCTTGAAGGGAGAGTATAAACAGGAGGGGGAACGGCTGTTTGTGAGGGTGGATGGTGATGGGGCAAGGGGAATGGTTTTAAACTGAGGCAGGGGAGGTTTAGGTTGGATATGAGGAGGAAGTTTTTCGCCCAGAGGGTGGTGAGGCACTGGAACAGGTTGCCCAAGGAGGCTGTGGATGCCCCATCCCTGCAGGCATTCAAGGCCAGGCTGGATGTGGCTCTGGGCAGCCTGGTCTGCTGGTTGGCGACCTGCACACAGCAGGGGGTTGGAACTGGATGAGCACTGTGGGCCTTTGCAACCCAGGCCATTCTGTGATTCTATGATTCTCCATTTTCAAATCACTAAGCTGAGCTGCACGTCTCTCAAACTCATCCTGAAGCTGCATCTATGCCTTCATTTCTCCTTACAGACAATTTGAAAGCCAAACTTTACATAAACAGGGGCTGTTCTTCTGATTGCTCTTTTATTTTTCCATTTTACAGTTTGTGCAACTGCAGTGCTTACCTTTTGCCCAATGTGTCCAACTAAAACACTATTAGCTACAGCTGTGTTTCCCAGGCTTTCCATGATGTCAATGCCAAAATCCGTGCAAGCATAGATTCGGAAATTTTGGAGTTTGAGGTTGCTGCTACTGAAAATCTGTATAAAAACATAATAGAGGAATAGAGTGGACAATTTAAAAAGTGTGGTTTATAACCACGTTTTTCTAAAAGTACAGTAAAAAAACAGGAGAGTGCAAAATGATAAAAGTTTTGATCTTGTATTTATTTAAGAATTTTCCCTTATTTTCAGGGGAAAAGGTCAGGCTGGATGGGCTGTGAGCACTGATGGAGCTGTGGGTGTCCCTGCTCAGTGCACGGAGTGGGACAGATGGCTTTGATGGGTTCCTCCCAACTGTAAGGATTCTGTGATTCTGTAACTACCTCACATCCACTGGGAGAACCTTTTTGGTTGTCCTGTAGTGGCAAATGTAGATTAGATGGTTAGATAGGCCAACAGGGCTGTCATTAACAGTAATGCTGAGTCTGCACTGAACTATAAGGAGAACTCACACAAACCATTACCAAAACAGGGGCCTCCAGCTGAGGGACAAGGACATAAAGGTACGAGAGGTTCCACAGCAGCTGTGGCCTATCTGCAGCCTGAAAAGGCAAAATCACTACAGAGATGATAAAGAGATGAAGTAGCATTTCCTGAGCACCATGGAGGACATCTGAGACAAACATACCTGGGCTCCACCTTGGCTGCTCCAAACTGTGAAGCTGTCAAACTGAACGGGGCCGTTTGGGCTGTCTGGCAAATATTCTGGGTAGACAAGCAACCCATGCCTGTTTAGGAAAGAAAGCAAAGGAAAAAACAAAAAAAGAAAACAAAGTTTCCTTGCATGCATTACTGGACATAAAACATCATCTTTAGGCCTGTACTTAGTCTCCATTTCAACCTACTTAATCAGAGATAAACTCTAAAAGCTGAGTATTCATGCTGCTATTGCACAAAGCGTCTGGAGGTAAGAAATGCCCCTCCAAGCCACGGAAGCCAGCATCATATCTCTACTGTTGGCCTGCAACGCATGTCAAAGAGTGTAAGAATGAAATTGTGTATCTGTCCTCTTGTACGCCATCCTCCTCTGCTCAAACTGTCTGGAATGCTTCAAAATTAGCTTTAATTTCAACACGAGTACAAGCTTCTGTGCTCTGCTGTTAAATGTTTGATGAAGAAATGTGCTAAACGTGGCACTATAAACTAAGTCAGGATCATTAAAACAAGGGAGTAAGATGGAGGTGCTTGCTGCCAGCACAGGAAAGCACAGCAAGTTAACAAATGGAGGTGGTGAATGAAGAAGAATGGAATATATTGAAACTACTAGGAAACCACTTGCAGTCAGACCCTGAAAAATAGCTCAACTACACACCAGTCTGTCATGGGCTCTGCTCCACTACTGAGCCAACAAGAAGAAAAAAAGCACTTACAAGGGTGCAAAATTGAGAAACAATTACCAGCAATAACAAAATCCTGAAGGAAGGGACAAAGCCATTTCTGCTCACTGCTGCAGTTATAGTTAGCATTACCATGCACAGAAGGAAAGTTTCTTTAACCAAAGGTCCCCTAATACCTGGTGCAGGAGTGGGCTGTGTTCTCACTGAAGGACAGGAGAGGCATTTTGGATGGTCCCTCAGGAGAGAGATGAAAGAAATACCCATATCCAGCAGCACACACGGTGTTACCCTGCAGAGAAACACACACAATTGTGAAAAAAATTACCACAAACCTCTGCTAAATAAAAGAAAAGAAAAATAAATGAATAAATAAAATCCAATCCCAGTTGATGTTAATGATAATTCCGGCACATCTGGTTGGCGGAAGCTGGTACCTTGTTGTGTATTCATGCTCTCATTCCATTCTTGCTCTTTCCTTGGGTCAGTCCCACAAAAACCTGCTCTCCAATCAGGCAACAAGGGTTGGCCAAATAACTGGAACTCATGACAGCAAAATGGTACTGCCACAATTCTTCAAGAAGTATGTAAGAAAAAAACCCCAAAAACAGTGTGGAAGACTTCTTAAAATCCTTTCTAAGTAAGAAGGCCACGTCATGGAAGAAAGGTGAATAACTACTTCATTTTATTGGTATAATTCCAAGTCTGCATCTTTCTTATGCCTCCTAAAGTAATTCTGACACTGAAAAACTGAGATTCTGAAAAGACAAGATAAACCAAAGAACTACATCTTCATGATATGCCAGTGTCTGAACAGTAAAACTCATTCAGATCTGTGACTTCATTTAGCTCTGTTCCCTTCCTTTGTCCCTAAGCACAGCTTCCCAGGAGATCTCTTCCACTAATTCCATAAACCACAGTTTGCCCTCCTGAACTTCAAGTTCCTGACTCTGCTCTTTGCCAGGCCCATATTCCTCGAGATCATGAACTCAACAAGGGCATGGTTGCTGCAGCCCAGACTGCCTCCAATCTTAATTTCTATTAACGACCTCATCTGCACAGGTGAGCACCAGGTTCAGTAATGTTTCTCCTCCAGTTTGTTTGACTAATATCTGGATCAGGATGTTATCCTCAACACACTCCAGCAGTCTCCAGGATTGCTTACAGCATGCCATGTTGCTTTCCTGGCAGACATCTGGGAAGTCATATCCTTCACCAGAATGAGAGCTTGCAAGAGCAATGCTTCTTGTAGCTGAAGCAAGACCTCATCAACAGGCTCCAGATGTCCTTCACTGGTCTGGTCCTTAATTTTTACCCACAAGCTCTCCGTCTCCTAAGAGCCCAGTCTCTCAAAGGTGCATCTGAGATCACAGAACTCAAAGTCCTGAGCATGGCACCAGTCACACAGCTAATTGTTCATGTGTCTCATTCATCTCCTTTTTGGGTCTCCAACTGGGAGGTAGAGGAAAATACCACCTGCCCTCCCAATTCCTTCGATATCTTTCTGAGGTACATAAAGTCTCTTCTTCCAGGCAGGCTGTGGATAACCCCTCCCTGGAGGCACTCAAGCCCAGGCTGGATGGGGCTGTGAGCAACCTATTCTAGAGGAAGGTGACCCTTCCTCTAAGAAAGAAAATCATTCTATGATTCTGATAATTCTCATCTCCTTCGTTGCAGCCTCCTTCAACTCTTCATAAAAGAGGAGGAATGGTTTAACCATGTTTGGTAACCCTGCCATGATACTGTACATGTGGGTCCCCAGCAGGCAACAAACCTGTCTAGGAAGATTGTCTGGATGGCAGATGAGTGCTTCAGGGCTTTCAGTGAGTAATCTTCCATTACTAACACCTTCTCTGTTCCTTTTGGTGGCACAGGTTCTAATATAGGTGGTTGGCTGGATCAGTTTTGTACAGCTGTCCATTCCAGGGTCTTGACCATTACTCACACTCCCTTTTTCCAGCCGCAAATCTGGGCACCCCTGTTGTGTAGGGGCACTTTGGACTCCTACTTCTGCTCCAAGCAGAGACAAGGATACACTGTCCCTCACCTTCTCAGATGTGTTATAAATTATTGTTAATATCACTTAATGAAGAAATTATGGAGTTGCGTTCATTGTGAAACATGAAAAAAGAAGAGAACGTAAGGCCTTCCTGGCCTTATGATTAGGAGCTTCTGACTTGCAGAGTCTGTGGCAAGTCAGTTTTGCAGGGGGAGACATAGGGAGTTAGGAGTATTTCTACTCCAGGGCAGAAACCTGCTCTTGTCTGCTTCATTTTGGACAGTACCCAAACTGAGCTGTTTTTGGATGGTGCCCATACAGAATCACATTCATGCGCACATCTGGGCATGATCCTTCTCAACTGTCTCAAATGTGTTGCTCAAATTTGATGCTGAAGGTCCAGGCTGGTAGATGTATGCTTCCTTTCCAGGAACTAAGTAAGGCATAGGCATGTCTGGAGGGCAGGTCATCCTGCCTACCCTTAGATAACATTAATTGCTCTCTGGAGGTAATTAGTTCTCTAAGGGGAGTCTAAGATGAGCTTTCTCGCAACTTCTTGCAAGAAGAGCTGACACTCACTGACTTCAGAGGTCACTGGACAGTGCTAAAATATTAATGGCTTTTTGGTCCCCGATGGCCCAAATCAAAGCCAAACCCAATGACCCAGAGGTGGAAGCCTCCATATTCCAATTACTTTTTCTTGACCCTTCCAAGGGTGCCCCCCGCAGTCGTGATTTCTGACATCTGCCAAGCAGCAAAGAGATATCAATAACCAAAGCACATCTCTCCATCCCCTGGTAAAACTGCTGCTTTTTCCGAAAGTGCAGCCAGAGTCCCTTTTCCTTTAACAAAATGCTTCTGCAGTCCAGTCACATTATTTCCAGGATCTTTTACTTGCGACCCCAATCGTGCGTTCTGCAGATGATTCATAAGGAAAAACTGCATATTTATTCAGCCAGCTAGTGGCTGGAGGGCAGGGGTTTTAGGCAAGGAGGGAATTTTGTGTGGAAATCAATTCTTTGTGGAAGTCAATATATTATGAATGTCCATGCAACCAAAATTCCAGAGAGAAATTACCTCCCCGAGCATGCCAAATACCTGGAGGTATGAATTGCAAGTCAGTAAAATAAGTGGCTGACGTTTAAAGTGTCTCTTAACTGTACAGCCCTGCAAATGGAAATATTTCATGAATTTCTTTTAGATGACCAGGGCTCAAACTGTTGACCTTAAAAGTGACATAAAAGCTCCGGAGAGCATGCCCAGCACCACTCCCCCCAATTTAAGAGCCTGGTTGGATGCAAGGAGTATCCCCAATGGGTTTGCTTCAACATATACATAATTTGTAGAAGGCTTCAGAAAAGTAAGAACAAAATGGTGGGAAACAATCAGTGCCAAACAGATACAGCCCCACCTCTTTGATACGGTAGGGAACGTGGGGTTGGGCAACACTGGGCAATAAATCACACATACCAGCATGGCCATTGGTCACCACTCTGACACAGAAGCACAGGTTGATCTCAGCCCTGCTCATTCTGGTAAGCTGCTTCCGACTCTTCAATGTCATGGCAAGAAAGGAGAGGGAGGCTGCTCTCTTACACCCAGGTTTTGCTTGAGCACTGCACAGTGGTGCTGAGATTTAAGGGTACTGAATGTTTATGAACAGAAAATTATTACAAAAAGTCCAAAAACATTGGACCCAAGAAAACCAACAGAAGATAAAAAGCTGTTTTTTGCCATTTTTCTTCAGGGACAAAACAGCCAATATGAAAGAGGGGCATCTTCCTTTCCTCTTGCTGATCATTTAAAAGGCAAGAAACCAGCTTGCTAATGAAACTGTCTTACATCACTCAAAAGTGACAACCAGGGCTTCCATATTTTATTTAAAAATAAAATTGCTCATCTTGTCATAACCATTCTGCGTTTATGCTGCATGAGTACGAAGTTTTATCTAACACCCTGATTCACAAATGCACTTAAGAGCTTAAGCCAAATGGAAACCTGTGGGAATTGGGTCTCCGAACATCTTTGTAGGCTCAGGTTTGAGTGACTGCTGTGTCCCAATTTCAACACCATTTAGGAGACCGCTGATTTTCAAGTAAATTTCTGTTCTTCAGTCACCAATGCAAATTTAGGCTCCGGAGTAAACTGAGCAGATATTAAAATATTATTCCACTCACTGCAGAAAGCTTAACCCATCACACACAGAGGCTGTAACGCAGTCTGCACCTAGAGCTCTCTGTCTACTGTAGCTGTAATCTTTGCCCGTACTTTTAAAAGCAGAAATTTAAAGATGAAAATCTGAGAAATAAATAAAATAAAATAAAATAAAATAAAATAAAATAAAATAAAATAAAATAAAATAAAACAGCAAAACAACCAAATCCTAACGCTGAAATATAGAAGGCAAGTTTCTGTTCTACGTCATGGCACTTTGAGGATGAATTTTGCTCATTATATTCTTTGAACCTCTCTGTTTAGTTAAAATTATAGCTATCCAAAAAGCAATATGTAGTCGGTGAGCCATCTGAGCAGATAAAAAGTGCCTAACTGTGTACAACATGATCCTGGTGCTGGACCAGCACTGTTTGGATTTAGTGATCATTATCATACTATTATCATACATAAGTATCATACCACACATTGGACTAAAGTGCTTTGATTGGAAAAACTGTGGCTGGTTCTCTTAATATGCACATAGAATCAAAGAATTCTAGAATGGATTTGTTTGAAAGGATCCTTCTTGAAGTTCCAACCCCTGCTGTGGGCTGGGTGCCTCCACCAGCCCATCCATGGCCTTGGGCACCTCCAGGGATGGGACACCACAGCTCTGGGCAGCAGTGCCAGGGCAGCAACGCCCTCTGATTCAACAATTTCATCCTAACACCTAACCTAAATCTCCCCTTTTAGTTTAAAGTCATTCCCCCTTGTCCTATCACTATCAGAGTGTGTAAAAAGTTATTCCCTTCCTGTTTGTAAGCTCTCTTCAAATACTGCAAGGCTGCAATGAGACCTCACATCCTCCACATGCTCCCATGTCTTCTACTGAATGCTATACGTATTGTAGAACAGTAAGCACTCCTAATAATAATTTCAAGCTGGGCAATTTCTTTCTGTTTGCCTCAGAGCCAACTCTGTTGCTGCTGCACGGCCTCAGATAGCCCAGTCTGAGGAACTGCTGACATTGAGGCATATCAGCAACCCTACAAGGGCCATCTGCTGTTCTGCCCCGAGTAGCAGAGCTTTGGAGAGCAGGCTGAACCCTGATGTTGGGCTGCACACCAACAGATGCAGCTTTGGGCACATCTCAGAAGACACATGAGTGGAGAGAGCTCAGCAAATGCGCTGAAAACTCAACTACAGTCGGTTCACACGTACCCACAAAGATAATTGCAGCAATCCTTTGCAAAAGCTGAGCCACTGGCAATCCAACAGACAGCTCCAGGGAAAGTCAGTGCGTGATAACACAGCACTGTGCTTAGTGGAGCTGAAATTCACGTGATTCTGCCTCGTTGTATTTTTTTTAACCATATTTGATGGTCTCAAAAATGATAAATGCACCCTCGAGGGAATTGCAGGAAAGTCCTCTCCTTCTTCTTAAGTACTACTGGCTTCAGACTCACGTAGGAAATGTGTTGGTGTCTTTTTCACCTTCAAATTTAGGTGCAATCCTTTCCTCCTGGAACAGAAGCCCAGGGGGCGATTGGGTCTTCACAGATGCTTAGTAATTGGCTTAGTTTCTGTGGGTTAGCAACAGGACAGGTCAGAAATATTTTTTAATGAGAATGTGCATTTGTCACAACTGAAGCTGTGGTAAGAAAGGTCAGTTTCAATGAAATTCCAGACTTGAAACAGTTGAAAAGCAAAAATGGTTTGAAATCACTGAAAAAAAATTTTGGTTTTTTGTTCCATGAAACAAGACAAAAAATAAATGCATATATTAAAAGAAAGCATCTCAGAATTAGACAATGAAAAGAAACTTACAGAGCCCAGCTTTGTGGTGGGAAGGCTGTTAGAAAGCTGCTTAAAATTTCAATCTTTTGTCACTATTTAGACCAATGAAATTTACTTGCTTTTAAAATCAATGTCATTTTCGTGGGAAAAGGAAAGCATTCTTCTCACCCTGGAATGGAAATCTCAGGCTCTGCATAAGCTGTCATTTTAAAACCAGGCAAAGCTGCATTTGATATTGCTGAATTTTACTATGTTTATCTTCAGTTCATTAAAATTGACATTATATTGACAGTAGTAGAAAAAAAAAATTGAGAGGATCTATTCCTAAACATTTTTTCCCATTTTTTTCTAGGAATCACAGAGTAAAATAAATTATAATAAAATAAAACAAAACTTTAAAAAGTATCCTAGAAAAAAAAAAAAACAAACAAAAACAAAAACAAAGAAACACTCAAATCAAATGCATCATAATTTTCAATAACCATAAACTTGTTCATGAATATTCTTGAGTTTGTAATATGTTCATTTCAGTATCCCACCACAAGCATGGCTTTTGAAGGCTCAGACAAGAAGCAAATATTGTGTGCATGATCACAGAATCATGGAATCATTAAGGTTGGAAGAGACCACAAAGATTATCCAGTCCAACCATCCACCTACCCCCAGTGTTGCCCGCTAACCATGCCCCTTAGAACTACACCTACCCTCTCCCTATACACGTCCAGGGATGCTGACCCCATCACCTCCCTGGGCAGCCTCTTCCAATGCATCACCACTCCTCCTGGGAGGAGTTTTTTTCTAATATCCGACCTGACCCTCACCTGGCAAACTTGAGGCCATCCCCTCTCGTCCTATTGCTGTCACCTGGGAGAAGAGGCCAAGCCCCACCTTACCACAACCTCCTCTCAGGGAGCTGAAGAGAAGGTAAGGTAAAAAGTTCCATATTTTCCTGATATTTTTGAATAGAAATGCTATGTTTTATACCAGAACCTCTTACCTCAATGTGGTTGGCAGGAGCTCTGATGTAGATCCCTGCTGGTGACAGAGTCTCAATGTTGGATAAACCATCCGTTGCAGAAAGGCCAATCACTATGTTGTTTCTGATTCTGTTCCCCTTCTCCAGGCCACTTCCTTAAAAATAAAATACAATAGTAGTATTAGATGTGGAGGTTGGCAGCCCTGCCTGTGGCAGGGAGGTTGGAGCTTGATGATCCTTAGGCTCCCTTCCAACCCAACCATTCTACGATAATAAATAAATGGAGAAAAATATATATACCTGGACACCCTCTACAGTATATATCAGAGAACTTGCCTGCTTTGCTGGCATGGTACACCTGAGAATCAGCTTTGTTTGACTGTCCCTCGGTAAGTCATGGTCGCATCTGTGTTTAACACATGGCAAAAAATGGCTGTGACACATTCAGAGACTGCCATGACTAAAGCCAGCAATGGCAAGGGGATGGCTGTCTGCTTCAGAAATGTCAGAAGGCCACAAGCAAGATAAAATAGAATAGTTTTGTTGGAAGGGTTCTTCAAAGATTATCTAGTCCAACTGCCAACACTGATATCGACTCCATTAATGATCTCACCAAGATTTGTCCAACATCATAAATATTAAAAAAAAATAAAAAAGAACTTGCATTCTAATCAGACAGATACAGTCAGGGAAAGAAATAATGTCATATTCTACCAAAATGCAACGAAGATCACAATTCCACAATTTGAGCTGCAGAAAATACCTGATAAAGTTTTATATATTATCACTGCAGCCATGCTTTAAGCCAGGTTTATGGAGAAAATGAATAAAAAGAGTATGATAAATCATATTTTACAGCTTGGAAAAAAAAAAGAAAAAAAAAAGAGATTCCAAGTCATTCCACTTGTGGACACACAGGCAATGCTTCTGGCAGTGCTAAAATTAAAAGTTATCTCTCCTGTGTCTCCATCCATTGCCCCATATGTATATAAGTAAAAATTTAAACAGACCCTAAAAGCACCACTGCTACCCTACACATCAGTGGAGGTCCCCTACCCACAAAAGTGAAACGTGAGAAGGAGAAGTTGATCACTCAGTGATCACACAGCTCACAGTGACAGCGTGCACCACATCGGTACTGACACAGCAAGGAAAATATTCACATTTCCATCTGAACTACACCACAAAGAAACGTGCCACCCAATGGGGAATAGTGGACAGTCCTACGTACGGGTCAACTTCCAGTAATGACGCATCAGCACATGTCTCTCTGGTCTGGAAGCAGAATAAAAAGTGAGTCATTTCTACTTGACCCACATCAGGAGCAAATAACATCTATTTAGTTTTGTTCTGTTGAACTGAAATGATTCACTTTACCTGCTCTGGTTTATCCCAGTCATTACTACCCTAAATGTAAACAACAGAAGTACATTAGGGATTTTGGCTGTGGGAAGGGAGTAATCGTTTTCAGTCTTTCTCAGTCTTCTGAACATTTCTCCATTTTTGAACAACATCCATTTTGGAAATATTTCCTTTTCAGGTTGTGCTTACTACAAACAATGCTACTACTAAGCAGGGTCCTAAAGCAGTCCTTTTGAAAGCCATACAGTTTTGTGAGGTGGCAAAAAAGGTTTGGGCTTCCAAGCTGAGCCCTGGTATGTCAATTAATTCTAAGCCCAGAGCAACTTTTTATGACTGTCTTGCAAAACCCCTGAAAATAAGGGTTTTAGATGAAATCACTGAGGGAGTCCAATTCTGGAGCTGCAAACAGCCAGCTATAATAAATATTCCTTCACAGGCAACAAAATGATACATAAATTCATCCATCAGACCCTCTGGAGCTGCTGGCAGTGAAGCCATTAAAGACATCTTGGGGATAAGGTGTATTCAGGCTGAAACTTCAGAGGAAATGTTCAGCCCAGAGTCCTTTCAGTCAGACGTGTGTCCTGTCCTAGCACAAGGGAGCCATGGCAGCCCAGCAGGATGGAGATCTCATTCTGCTTCCCACGGCCTCAAGAGCTGCTGTGTGTGATGAGTGACCACATCTCTCTGCACCAGCTCTCCTCTTCTGCAAGATGTGTACAGTAGCTCTTCTTTTATGGGTCTCTTCTGTTTAAATCGTGATCTATCACATCCTATTATATTTATATATGGGATCGAGCATAGGGACTCTGTGTGTGTGTGGAACTGCAGGATCAGGACTGAAGGCTCTTTTTTAACCTCTCTTTCTCCTGAAATTGATCATTTTTTATCCTGTTCCTGACAGAAAACAAAACTCATGCTGCATCTTTAGGGATTCAGGCAACGTGAGATCCCAGCGGAAGATGCTGCGAGTGAGGCTCCTGACAGTTAGATCAGAGAAATATTTTGTTGTTTAACAGTTTTGTTGCTCCAAGCTCCAATTTATTTAAGTGCTAAATCCTCTGCTTAACTTTTAACATATGCTTTCACTCCATTATCTTTGATGTCAAATGACTGGAGTTAAAGGTAAGTATGCTCTTAAATGCCTCACTGAACTGGGGTCTTAAATATTGCATAATGGTGCTCTTCCACAGAGAGATACACCAGTTCCCTGAAAAGAAATTTCTTTCCATTTGTATTCAGTGAAATAAAAGGATACAGAGCAAGTGAAGACTGATCTGAACAAACATAGAGAATATGGCCAAACAGAAATAGTTGCTAGGAGTTGCATGAGGAAGAAGACTGAGAGATTTACTCCAGATTCACTAATAAGAGAAAATGTGGAAGATGTGATTAAAATCATGAGTGTGTAGTTAAGGATCCTTTCCTCCAAAGACATTTTCAAGGAAATGATCATAAGCAAACGCTGCTATTACATGTAGGATAGATACTTTCCTGCTTCACTTACCCAGTAGAAGCCCATGTCCTGAAATGTTAAAGAAGACATTACTGTCTACACTAAGGTTTGAGATCCCAGTCAGATGGAGCCCTTGGCCAAAGGAGTCCAAAAAACAGCAACCATGTATGTAAGAGTCTGGAAAGAAAAGAGGTTGGAGAATTTAATATTAGCTCCTACTCCTATGATGCTATGCAGTTAATCCTTTTTGCTTCCATGAGACTGACCAGTTGAAGCTGAAATTGGCTCATCTTTGCCAACAAGTGGGCATTGATGAAATAGCTGCAGTAGAAGAGAGGGGCCCCAAGCACAGAAACAGGTTACTCGAGGCATCTCGTGTTATGTGGGGGGAGAAGATCCAAATGAAAGGATCATGTGAGTGAGCTACATTATGAGCTGAGGTAACTGGGGGATTGAAGTGGGACTGAATGAAAGGAAGAATGTAGCAGAAGGCTGGGTATCTTATCCACCTTGGGTAGCCAGGCATGATGACCACCTTAATGTACTTCAGGATCATAGCCAGAACTGCCTTCTGACACCAGAAAGCCTAGATCATCATTAAATAATGAAGCTGGCATAGGGAAGACAAAGCTGTGAGTTAACTGAAGGGGAAGATCCAATCCAGAGTCTTTCAAACATTTGAGCCCATCTAACTCGCTCCCACCTCCACCAGTCTTCAGAGACCTTGTTGCCACTTCCACAGAGATTAATTTTGTGCTTACCAATCACCCAGTCAAAACAAGTGTTCCTTAACTTTCAGGTGATATAACTAAATATTGGTTTACGCTATGGAACATCCCTGAGTCAGCTCAGGACTCACTCATGGTATATTATGGCTTTCATTTCCAGAACTAGAAGCAGCACAGCGACTCGAAGACGTACCATAAAAATGAAATACTATTTAGAAAGGAGCTGTCAAAAACCACAAAGGAACCAAAACAATTTAAAGGACTCCATCAAGTGTTACTTGGTCTTAGTCTACAGGTGAAGCTCTCTCACTTTTCTCACGTTTACAGTCCTATGGTGTTAACTGACTCCAGAGCTAAGCAGGGTTTTGAGAATATCTTTCCCAGTTGGAAAGATGGATCTGTGAGATTGTTTGGGCTCATGTCCAGAGCAGCTGTCTCACCTGCCATCTGTGCATTGCCAGCAACTGTAAGGGCACTGCGTTGCTGCCAAAATGCTTGGCCCATGTGGTAGAACTGGACCCCCTCCACTTGCAGCTGACTCGTTGCTCCCTGGAAGGCTTCCACAATGACAACAGCTCCCAGGTCCCGAGACCCCAGCTGCCTCTCACTTCGCTTGTACAGACACCTGGAGCCACCTACAAGACAACACAGTAGGAACTATCAGTTTTACATATCTGCTGTGACAGTGGGACATGCAGAGTCCTTTGAGGCAACTCATGAGGCCCATCACACCGACTCAGAGAACTCCTGTTTCCTGCAGCGATCTTAAACACATGCCCAAAGACAAACAGCCACAGGCAAGCTTGCATGATACTCCCCTAAGTACTTCCACAGTTTCTCACCTCAGAGTCTGGACATTTTTAGAGGAAGGTGTATTAAAACCAGCAGGAAGCTGTGCTAGTTTTATGCTTAGGAAAGTTCCTTGTGTTCAATTTTAAATAGGCCTACGCACAGGGATGATGGATTTGACATTGATTTACCTTGGGTGAGGTTCCTGAAAAGGGGATTGGGCACGGCTGTACTGAACTGAGCTGAAATGAGAACATTTTGAAATTTCTTTAAAACCCTCTCCCTCCCAACTGCCCCCACAGACATGTGAGGAAACATTCGTACCCACAGACAGAAGATAAGGAAAGGAGATGATAGGGCTGCGGAAGGAATCGACATTCCTCAAAGGTGTCCTTTCCCCAGGTCTGTGCTCAGGATATTTTGGTTCAGGGGGATTCAGGCTATGAATGTGTAAATCGGTCCTGCTTACACTCAGCAATGCTCATTTTTCTTTTAAAGACGGTAAATTAACCACAAGAAACACTGCCCACTCATCTTCTGGTGACTCCTCTGAGAAATCCTCCTCTACTTTAATGCAAATAAAAACCTCAAACAGTTAGCACATTTCAGAGACTATATTTATGAGTTCCACACAAAATGGACCATAAATCCATGAGTAATATAAGCAGTTGGCTGCTGGATATCAAATGAAGTCTTGTGTCACAGTCTGAGTGCCCAAGGCATTTTATTTTTAAAGGGAGCCTTATACCTGGGTTGCCAGATAACCTAACTCTCCTTAAATTATAATCGCTGTGTCGGACTGCATTTCCTCACCTGCAGGTGTAAATCAGGAAGCCATCCGTCAAACTTCACTGTGCCTTACAAACATAAAACCAAAGGAGAATTGAGATACCTATTGTTTCACCACTGCTACTAAATGCTACAAGACGCTGTCACCTGTTTTTTTTTCCTCAGGATCCCCAAATAACATCATAATTTTTTACACTACAGAGTACAATAAGCATCAGGGTGCTTTGTTTTTCTTTCTTCTAAAAGTTTCTAAATAGTAAACACAATTAAAAATTTAATATATTATGTACACTGAAGTATGCTTTCAGAAGATACTTTCTTTGCTGTACCCTTAGGCTCAGGCAAAACTAAAGGGTCTTTCCCAAGATGGCTTGAAACAATAATGCAAAAACAGTACATCTGAGATGTTACAATGAAATGCACTTCAACTCCCAAGACTTCATACTTCAATGTCAAATGATGTTTGGAAAGATAAAACTGTTTTCCTGGCACCGATATGTCTCCGCTTTACTCTATTAAGAAGCATTTCTAACGCACAGTGATACCACAGTGTGATTTTAGAGAAGAAATTTTACTCTTGAGTACCTCTTAAGACCTCCTCACCTCTTGTGCCACCTGCTTCTGCACACTCTCTGACGTGGGAGATCCTCTCCTTCGTGACATTCCCTTGAACAACAACCCTTCTGCTAAGCAGTGCCACCACAGCAGTCAAAGGCAGGCTCTGGCCATTCACTCTTTCCTCTCCAACGTTGTGGGAGTACCTAGGGAAAGACAACAAAAGTACAGAAGCACCTGCAGCTGACAGATGGCAGGAATGATGTTGACCCTAAGCATCCAAATCCAACTTCAGCCCCTGTCTCACTGCTGACATCAAGAATTACCTCTATCTGTTACATCAGCATATACGGGCTAGATATATTTTTCCTTGGTTGACATTTATTTTCATCTTGTCTCACAAGTTCACAAATTCTCTTTACATTTGGTACTTATACACCAAAATATTTCAACATTTGAATTTCCTTCATCTTCTGAAAACATACTGTCAGTATTTTCTTCCTCAAGCCCCAAATATTTTTACACAGAAATGATACCATTGGCATTTATGGGTACTGGAATTAGGGTGCCATCAACATAGAGAAGATATTTCAACACTGGGACTCCAAGTTACAATGCAAGAAGTATAGTTTGGCCAAAGCCTTCATGTGTAGAAAATGAAGAGAGCGTAAAGAGCTAAACTAATGTTCAGTAGAAACAAAGAAGCAGTATTTCCAAACTGAAGTAATTCACTTTGAGTATTTTGTTAATTAACTTAAGCAATTCAGTAGAGAAGGGAAGGATTTTTTTTTTTAAAACAAAATCAGACACTTTCTGTGGAAAAAAAAAAAAAAAAAAAGCAATTACTCAAGAAAATAACTTTTCAGGAAAATTCTTAGCCCATTCTGTGCTAAGGCCACTGGACTGAACTAACCATTGGTGTTTTCTGATACAAAGGTCCATGGTTATGATACAGGATTTAAACATAGAATCATAGAATAATTAAGCTTGGAAAAGACCTCTAAGATCATCCAGTCCAACCACTCACCTACCACCAAAACTGCCCACTAAATCATGTCCCTTAGAGCCACCAGTGAGAATGCATTCAATATTTAATGTCTGCTAGCTTTGAGGTGAGCAAAGAACTGAAATATCTCTGACCGCTTCTGTTAAAAGGACTTACATATAGTTACTAAGTCCCACAGGAAACTGCAAATCCTCACCTAGACCATATTTTCTCCTGGTTTCACTTTTTGCTATTGAAACCCCGTTTCTCCTTGAAAAGATACCTGAGTGGTGACCTAAGGTAGAGCTCAGTGTTATTGATAGACTCAATAATGGCCACTTCTTCTTGCTGCTGTGCATCTCCAAGACCTGTCCTTCCCACCACAATTTCATCACCAGGTTCCCAATCAACAGGTTTCTGGAGCACTAATCGTAAGTCGTTAGCAAGAGCTGATGACTTCAAGTATGTGAAAGTGACTTTGGGCACCCAGCCTGGAAAAAAAAAAAAAGAAAAAGAAAAACTCAATATATATACAGATATATAAAAACAAAACAGAAAAAGGATTTGCCTTCTTAGAAAACACTGCTTCACTTGGATTATTCACTTCTCTTTGACTCCGTGTCAGAGAGATGGGAGTAATGCTATAAAACATGATATGTGCACATTCTTTTGAATCAGAAATGTTGCATTTTCCAAACAGTATCTTCATTTCATATCTTTTTGTCTTTATCAGTCCTGAACAGTAGAAAAACATGTTAGGAAGGAGTCTGCTCAAAAGGTTGCGGAGCTGAGGTTGTTTCATTCCATCTGAAGGCAAGAAACACTTCTAAAGCTCCTTCTATTACAAAGAACAGAGGAAAGCACTTTTTGCAGGGACAAAAACTATTTCAAATTATCAGATTCCTCTGTCAGGTATCCAAAATGAGATGCAACGAGTCAGGGCCTACAAATAACTTGCATTCACAGAAGTGCATAGTGAAAGATGACTACCTCTGCTTTTAAGAACTTGCAAGACTCACTGAGGATGGCTCAGCTAGCAACACCAGGTCATTTTCACATTGTCTCTCTGGAGAACCCAAAGCAAGGGCTCACTGCTTGAGAACCTGCCTTAACCATCTGACTGTGTCATACAGTGCAACCAGTTGGCTGCAAAATGAAGCACACAGCTCATATGTGTGGCATGCAGCAAGCCTGCTTTCAAACAGCTGACCAAAATAAAAATAAAAAATCAAACAAAAAAAAAGTGCTGATTGTCTTTTTTTTCCACTTGGTAGCTATGGTGGAGATTGGCAATCTGATTGGCCCAGCATGAAATAATGTGATGAACAGGATTCTGCAACTGCTTAGAAGTGTATCTCAATCTGTTTCCAGCTGAGATCACACACAGGCCTCCATGGGAAAAGCCTTCTCCACAGGCAGTCTGCAAAGCAGACACATAGTACGAGTGCACAAGTCAGTAGGACTTCAGGGTGAAGAAGAGCCCCTTGCATGAGCAGCCATAAGTCAGCTTTGAAAGGCAACAGAAAGGTAACAACTACAGATTCCCAAATCTCCTTCTCTTCACTGGACATTCTACCAAACTTGGGCACAACAAGACCCAGCAATGAAACTTCAGGACATTTTAACCTCCCTTCTTTGTTTCATGAGGTTTGCTTTAACTCTTACCTAGCGGGCTTTGGAGCGGATTGTTCCAGTGAGATCCAGCAACTGAACACCATCAGGGGAGAAAGCGTGAGCCTCACACACTCTCCTTTAGTATATTTTTCCTTCCCTCCTTTGCAATAGATCATAATTTACCTTTAGCCCTCAGCAAGTTACTGTCCTCCCTGGTTGTACTATAGAAAAGTAATAACACCAGAAACCACTAAGGGTAGAGGTTGCATCCAATAAGTCATTTTCAAATTATTTTAAGCAAGCTTCTCTCTCTCTCTCTCTCTCTCCATTTCCTGTTTCATGTTCTGGTTGCTTTCACTCTAGTGTCCCAATTCCTCTTTCTTTAATGAAGGTGGAAATAACAGGTAGCACCCCAAGTCAATGAATTCACAGCAGAATGAGAGAAGATAGAATCAAGCCTTCATACTCTGTGAACCTGAAGAATTTTTGAGTACCTGCTGTGTGTGTCAACGAGATGAAACACATCTAAACGTAGCTGAGATATCTCTAGTTGATTATTTTTCCTTTTTCTTAAAGTAGAATTGGAATTTCTCCACTTACAGCTAAGTAAATTTCCCAAACATCCCTTCTTCCAGTCCAGTGTTGATGCAGTATAAAGACTTGGAGGATACTGATACAAAGGGAAGAGGTAGAATATTTAAAGCAGTGAAAAAGGACATTTAAAGTGGTGAGAATGTGTGAACTCAAATAAGATGACGAATGAGAAAAAATAGCCATCTTTCAGCACAACAGCTGTTCTGTTTGCCACTGATCACTGTCTGGTCAAACAGTTGTGATGCTTTGAAAGGTGCCTCCTTGATGACCCCTTCTGATGATCTTGAGGAAAGCACTCATCTCCCTTCCACCAAACATCCTGGGATTGTAAGCACTGGATGAGGATGTTCCATAGAAGAGGCCTACCAATCAATCACACTGAAATAGCTTCAGTGTATTTTTTAGAATAAACTCGTGCTTATATGCCATCACCACCCGAGATAAGAGGAGAATATCAGAGAAAATACAGGTAGGTGCATATCCCACCCTTCATAAAGTTCTAGTGGCACCTTAGGCACATGCAAGAGGAGTCAGTATAGTAGTCATCAATTCAAGGAGAGCTGTACACTGTTGGAGGATCCCTTTTTCATCAGCTCCCTCTATTTATGCCGCTACACAGAGAATGCAAGTTTCTAAGAAACAAAAGGTAGCACATTTTTTCCCCTCTGCACAAAGAGCAGCACTTTGTACATCGCCCTTTTGAGCAAGCATAGCTGGTGCAGAGAAATGCTCTTGCCATCAGCTGACATGCATCTTTTTACTAGCAGCAGTCCCATCATTGTTATTCATTTACCTTCTTTTATTGAGTGAACCTCGTGAATTTTTAGGGCCTGCATAAAAACCAACAACTGACAGCAGCCATCTGCATGTTGAGCAGCAGACTATTTTTTTCTCTAGTTCTGGACATTTTGCTCATGTTCACGTGTTAGTGTGCATTTGTGTGCATCTGTGTGCATCTGTGGCCAGACACACAATTGCTTCCCATTGCATACATCTGTCACACACATACTACAGCAACCATTATAAAAATACTGCTGGTGCAAATCACTGTTCTGCATTCAAAACGAACTCCAATGGAAAAGGTCTCCTTCAGGCTTTTCCATTCCCAGGCTCAGAATTAAAAATCACTAAGGAGATTTTTTCCAAGTCTTCTTCTCCAGAAGGAAGAGTATTAAACGTATTCAAAATTTTTTCTTCTTTTTTTTTTTTATTTGACTTATTATTATGTTTCTTAAGCCTCCTTCTCTATCTTCCATATTCCAAAGTGCAACATTGCAACTTTCATCTCCAATAATTCCAAATATAGGTAAACGTGTCTCTGTGCTAGTACAGGCACAGGAGTACATTCAGCACAGTTGCTCTTCTGCATCTCATTTATTCTCTTGCAGTTTGCATCCACAGACAACACACTCATGTTCTTTACGCCACTGGCAACCAGAAGGCATCTCACACAGAATCACAGGAATTGGAAGGGAACTGAAGAGGTCATCAAGTCCAAGCCCCCTGCTAAAGCAGTTGCCTACAGTAGATCACACAGCTGGGAGTCCAGATGGGTCTGGAATGTCTCCATAGAAGACTCTACCACCTCTCTGGGCAGCCTGTTCCAGTGCTCCATCATCCTTATTGAAAAGAAGCTCTTCTTGTTCGTACGGAACCTCCTGTGCTCAAGTTTTAGGCCATTGCTCCTTGCCCTATCGCTACACACCAAGAGCCTGGCCTCATCCATTTGCCTCTCACCTCCCTGTAGATATTTATAAACCTTAGATCTCACTGCCTTGTGATTTATTGGAAAACAGATGCTCCTGCCCAGGAAACAAGACTTCCTGTGGCAGGCATTGTCACCCAACTTTAGGTATGCAAGGAGCAAACCTCCTAATTCTAGGGACCCAATCTCCTAACCAAGCCTGAGAGCAACCAATATGAGGTCCAGCCAGATTCAGGCAAAGCTGTATCCTGCATTGGCATACTGGTAGAAAACAGACTATTTAAATTAGTTTAAATGAGGACTGGCTCCATCCCTAAGCCTGCCATGAGACCAATGGCATTTCTCCCAGAAGCAGTTAAAATGTTTCAAACAATCATTTTTTCCTGCTCATACTGCATGGGACTGCAGGTTCTGAGCCCTTCTCCTACAGTGTCACAGGTCAGGATCTCATCTTCACTTCCATCTACCACAAATCAATCAACTTAGTTACAAACAAACTGTCTGTAGTGGTGACAAACTAGAGAGCTCTTTACACCTCTGGACAGTTTACTGGTGCTTTAAAGTTGAGCTAATGAGGTCTTGTGATACCACAAAAGGAATTTACAAGAATTGCAGGGCTCAGACACGCAATCTACTTACCATGACTATACAAGTCATAGTGCTGACAGACTGTCAATCTCTTGCAGCTACAGTGCAGATCTGTAGTGTAAATGAGAATAAGATCTTTCCATTTCCATGAATAAAGTGAAAAGAAACAGGCAGTTCACATTTTCCTCAAACAAAGGAATGTTGCAGGAGATGGAGGTAAAAATATAATTCAATAAATTATAGCCAAAAAAAAAAAGGCAAAAAAAAAAAGAAAAAACAAAACCCACAGTACAGTCTTTGGCAGCAAAAGACAATTTACTGCAGCATTTCAGGTGTCAAACTGCCTAAGGAATCCAGCTTCATCTCCACTGTCATAACCTCATATTAAAAAACTTTTCCTTATCCAAATTGAACTGCCCTTTCAAACTTAGCCTGGCCATTCCTGAAATTTCCAAATGTCAAAGCAATAAATGGCAGTGCAGCCATTGGGAAGAGTTGCTTCAGGAAACAGATTTTTAAAAAATATTTTGAGATCCAGAAAAGAGACTTTCTGTTGTTGCTGCTTCACAGTTAATAAAAATTAAAGCCATAAAAATAACATAAAACCTTCCTTACATTAAAAAGAATAGGACATATTTTTCAGAAAGCCTCCTTGGTCTGTGTTGCTACAGTTCCCTATGGACTTTATCTTTAAGTTGAACCTTTCTTTCAGTTGGACCTATCTTTAAGTTAGGGACGTGGAGTGATGAAATCATGTCAAGAATCACAGGACAGGTAAGATAGGGTAGATGGAGTGGAACGGGATGGAATGGAGTAGAACAGAACAGCACAGGATAGAATCACTCAGTTGGAAGGGATGTACAAAGACCATCGAGCCCAACTGCCCCACCACTTCAGGGCTACCCAAAAGTTAAAGCACGTTACTGAGGGCAATGTACCAGTGCCTCTTGCACACTGACAGCCATGGGGCATCAATCACCTCCCTACGAA